GCTCCCAGCTGGCTGTGTGCTCATCCCACAACAAAGGGCCCTCAGGCAGGAGCTCTTTGTTACCACCAGATGCTCACCAATACATGAACAGGCTGGTCCCCACAGGACAGGCTAGCACGTGGCTAACAGGCTGAGTAAATGTTGCTTAACCCACACCAGCTTGGCTCATGCTAAACTGCACAGTTACTGTATTTGAACAGTAAAAAATAATGTTGAATTATCTATAGAGCAGAATTTTTACAAATACTGTAATTAATATATTTTAATATAGTGATATATTAATATAATAGAATGAATATATACGTATATATATATTTGTATTTATTTTTAGTATATTTACATTTTTAAAAATTCAGTTTCTTTCATCCCAAAACTAAACAATCTTACTATGGCCATTAACATCTCCTATTATCATATATGCAAAAAGGAGAGCTCAATTCCAAACATATTTTACAGTCACAGGTGTTGTATGAATATGGTGTAACACCAGTGACGGTGACTCCAGTGACATTCTGGTTAAAACCGAGGATTCTGTAAATTGGCTGACTCATTGGCTGTCAGGGGACCTTGTGTTACTCTTTAAAATCAGTAATAAAATGATTTATGGCATTTATTTTGACACTTTTAATTACCCAGCCATTAAAGCACATAACACCAGTAACACATAGAAGTTATGTCCTTCCTGATAAACAAAATTATCAATAAGTTAATGAAATATAGTGAGCGAGTGTGACTCGCCTTGTCATGCCTTGAGATGCTTCCTCTCTGATGAGCCTCGACCCAAAGAAGCAGTTTAACAGAGCTGAAACTGACATCTAGCACTCCTACGTTAACATTAGCCTTCACACTTAGAGTTATTAAAGGGTCCATTTAATAAAAAACTGAACTTTCACCCCTGTTTAAAGTGTTGTATGTAAACACTGTTTAAGTTTCTAATCATACCATTCACTACTCAGTCCATGGAAATCAGACTTTGAATTTACTGTTTTTGTGATGTCACAAAAACTCATTTACATTTCCTGCCAATTCATCATACAGCAGTTTAGCACCGCCCATTCACACTGAGATTATAAGGAGTGGTTTAGTTTGAATGAGGTACAATGCAGAGAAGTACAGAGCTCATTTACACATATCAGTCTTAAAGGTACAGCAGTAAAAATACTGTTTCACTCTGGGGGATTAGGACAGGTTGGAAAATGGTCATATAAAAAGTCTCTCCCTCTGCACGAGAATGCAAAAATTATTTGGCAATGATTTGGAATTTCCGACCCAGGAGGAAGCAATGATACATCATAAAATTTGATGTCAAATTCCTTGAGAAGAACATTTTGAGCATGTCTATTGTTTAAAATATGGGCTATGAAGTTGCAGAGAGGGTGAGAGCGTGCTGCAATACAATGGCTGTATTGAGAAGTAAGTATTGAGAAAACAAAGAACGACAAAGAGGGATTCATACAGTATCATAATGGAGTAAAGCTAAATAAAGCACAAAGTAATCAAACCGGATATTACTGACTCTCACAGAAACAGCTCACAGCCTCTCTACACCAGTGATTATGCACAAGCTGATTCAATTTTCAATAAGAGATGTTTTACTCGCCCACATGAAATCACAAAATTGAGCTTTTAGAAACGAAGAAAAAAATGTTTTCTGGATGTGAAGATCAGGTGGTTTAACCCCTTTAAATTCCCAGGCTTAATACATACTAAGGCTTATTATTGAGTAACTACAGGGACTTCAGTGCAAACTAATGGAGTTTTTCTCAGGTTATAGAAGTGTGTAATAAAACTTTGGGCCCTTGACTTGGTAATGGGTTAATTAGGGTTCGCAGTAAAACTCAGGACAATCAGAAGAAATAAAATAAATGAAGAATTAAATCTAAAATGCTGCTGTAGACTTTCAGTTAATCTCTTTCGTTAAAGGTTAATCAACATATTACTCTCCATTATTTTTTGAGGAAATACATTTAAAAAAAATTGTTTTTAGGAAATTCACGCTGCTTCCAAACATCTAGCCTGTAGAGTAACTACACATGAAAATTCATACAGGTATTCAAATGCCCAGTATAATGAAAATGTAGAGAGAGTAATCCAACCACTGAGCCCTTTATCACAAGTACAGAGCATGACCGTCTTTAGAGCCACGACTTTCATAGAATTTTGCTTGCGATTACAGGTTGCTCTTTCATCAAAAACAAGTCAGAATATACATTTTTATGTCATTTTAATGCTTCATATTTAGCGATATCACTGTTCCTATATTCAGATATGCTTTTTGGAGCTCAAGGGGGAACAAATCGATTTGCTTATTAAATTTAATATCATAAACACATTTTATCCATTAAACTATGAGATGGAAATTTTGTGAGTGTTCCCTCTCACGGTGTGAGGGAGGGCGCAGTGGCACTTACTACCCACAAAAGGGCCCTTAGACTAAAAAACTGGGAATTGCTGATTTGGAACAGAGGTATTCGACTCCACATGCTGAATCCATTTTCGGGTTTGAATTTTTATGTTGTGGACTGAGGTTTATGAACTCCAGCCCTCAGGATTTCCAACATACCTGATCCAACTAATGCAGGAGACAAGTACGCCACCAAGGCTACGTTTACACAGCAGGTAAAAGTGGCCCGAATCTGATTTTCTCACCAAATCTGATTTTTTTGTTTGGCTGTTCACATTATCTTTTAAATGTATGCGACAGTCTGAACAGATCAGCTCCTAAACTGACCCACATGCACAAAAGAACAGAGCGTCACGCTGCTTCACGGCTCATCCAGAGGTAGACAATCACGACTGCCAACGAACGCCAGTCGCTCCCGGAGGATCAGCTTCATCTTCACCAGCATCACAGGAGCCATCAGGAAGCTTCACTGACTGACAGCTGGGCTCATCTCCCAGAATGTGTTCGAGCTCGCCGTAAAAAGGGCGCGGTCACTTCTTTGGTTCGTGTCCTCGGATTCTTTAAACTTTTTTCTTGACGCTGCAGCCTCGTTCTCCTGCGGCCGCGCTCAGCCGTTCCGTTTCGAGGGTTTTGATGAGTCTCTTCTAATTTTTTGTGCAGAAACATCAGCCGAAATGTTTTTGAGTCTAAGCAGTGTGAAATTATGACGAACGTGGAGTTGGATTGACGTGAAAGTCGCATGAATTCCGATCTGGCTGTTCAGACTGAGTCACATTGCTGCATATCAGATACGCATCGGATTTCAGTACCACATATCAGAACGGAATTTAAAATCAGAAAGTCAGATTCAGTGTGTTTATCTGTTCACACTGACAAACAGACACACATCTGTGTCACATATGAAGAAAAAGATCAGATTTGGGCCACTTTTACCTGCTGTGTGAAGCCCAAGAGTTCAGTTACCTACCAATGATTACAAAATCCAGAACTGGAGTCACATTCCTCTGATCCAGAACAGGGGTCTCACACTACCAGACAGCTTCATAACACCATCATGTATTTACAAATTATCTCTAAATCTGGCCTGGCAATCGTTTTTTCTACAGTTAAATATTTACATCTGATAGGTAGATGTGTTTCACCCACCAGGCACTGTGGCTGGTGGTCTAACATAAGCTCTATAAAATGAGCTTCGGCTGATGATTACATTGTTAAAAGCAGGCAAGAGGAACTATTCAAACAAAAACCTGACGCAGCATGAACACTGCAAACTGAGTGCGCAGGACTGTAATTCAGCTGGGTCATTCTCCATTTGGGGTGGGAGTTCAGATGGACACATTTAAAAAAATACATTTCTTTCATCCCCAAACTAAATAATCTTAATTGGTCCATTAACATCTCCTATTATCATATATGCAAAAAGGAGAGCTTAACTCCAAACATCTTTTACAGTCACTGGTCTTGTATGAACATGGTGTGACACCAGTGACGGTGACTCCAGTGACATTCTGGTTAAAACTGAGGATTTTGTAGATCATCTGAAAAGCAAGGTGTCTAATATGGTGTTATTTTAACGGAATTTTAATAACCCAGCCATTAAAGCACAAAACACCAGTGACACATATAATTGATGTGCTTTCTGATAAACAAAATTATTAATAAATTAATGAAATATAGTGAGCGAGTGTGACTCGCCTTCTCACGCCTTGAAATGTTTCCTCTCTGATGAGCCTCGACCCAAAGAGGCAGTTTAACAGAGCTGAAAATACTGTGTTAAAATGTAAAATAAGAGTCCTGATAACGCCAGTGACCAAAATCTCTGTGACAAATGAATTAAAAAAAAAAAAACATTTTTTAAACGTAAAAAAGTATACATGAATCTGTTTTATACAAAATCCTAGGTTAAACCTCTTAACAATATTGTTTTATATTAAAAATGGTTTCTGAAATGATGAAAATTGGTTTAGTGACGAGCTGTTTTACAGATGCAGAGAGACAATGAAACAATGAAACAGGATAAAGAAAAATCAGAGAAATCATAAGGTAAAGTATTATTTAATCTTAGGTCAACTGTGTAAACGTACATACCAACTTTTGGTGCTGTGTGGAATATTTTAAGCATCTTTTTAAGCCCTGCAACTTTTGTGACAAGGTATCCCACTCCAAATGGAGAATAGCCCAGCTACGACTAACTCAGCTATCATTCTAATTTAGACCGATAGTTAAATCCGTCTTCATGGATTCATTCAGGACACAGCAGGAGATAAAGTGTGTCAGAATTAAGAAATGAAAGAAATTATCAACAAATCCACTGAAAACACAGATTTAACTGCAACACGTTCAGCAGGAATGATAAAGCTGTCACAATAAGAGTCCCTTATAGTTCTAGTGTAAAATGTAAGCTTATTTGATTCAATTTTACTGGGATATTTTCCCATAATTTAGTTTGCAACATAAGAAGACCACTCGGCTAGCAGCCCCCAGGTACTTTCAGTTTGACAACCCTGATCTAGAGTAACATTTGAAGACCCTTATACACAGCAGAGGGCAACAAGACAAGGGAGAAACCAAACAAATACAAATATGATCATCTTACCTTGAAAGTCTCCAGCTGTTGGTTGATGACATCTGTCTCCATGCCAACAGGCCCTTGGGATTCCTCTTGCTCTTCCGCTCCAGTCATCTTCTGGGTGAAAGTCTGCAGCTTGCTGTAGAACTCTTCCAGATGTTTCAAAGTGTCTTCAACCTGCTCTTTCCTGCCATTGGCCCTGTCCATCAGCTTGCCACTCTGCTTGCTCAAGGCCTCCAGGTCTCTCTTCAGGCCCAGCAGGTCTGGTGAGGCCTCCGACTCTAGCATCTTCTTGCACTTGTCTCGGGCACTTGCAGTGTTGGTCATCAGATCCTGTAGTTTAGACATGAAGCTTTGAATGGCACCTTGTTGGTGTCTGAGGGTTTCAAGGTCTCTGCCCACTGGGGCCATGCTGTCCAGCTCATCATCCAAGTCTGCAAAGCTGGTGAACATCTCTCGAATGGTGTTCTGGAACTGGCCAATGCCCTGCAGTTTGTCCTCCAGCGTGGAACAGGCGTCTTCGACTGCTTTGCTGATGGAGCTGTGCTCTTTCTCCAAGCTGTCTGCCTGGAGAAGGAGGTCCGTTACCCCCTCGGCGTCTGGTACATCCACCACCAAGCCCTGAGCTAGACTTTTAAGGTGCTCCACTTGAGTCTGGACACCTTCTAGGCTTGTCTGCTGCGCTTTCATATTAGTCAGGTTCTTGTTACTGTAAGCCTGGACACCGAGGCTAGAGTGACTTTCTAGTTGCTTCTTGGAACCCTCAAGTTGGCTTTTGAGCTCTTTGTGCGTGTCGCTAAACTCCTTCAGCCTCTGTGAGAGCTTATCCAGCGATTCCTTCTTGAGTTGCAAATCTTCTGCCAACTTATCCAAGTTCTTCCCAATGACTGTCTTCTCTTCTTTTACAGCATCTACGTCTTCCGTGGCCACCTCCAGAAGGCTATCAGCCGCTGTGCTCAGCAGCTCCATCTGACCTCTGCGCTTGTCCACGTCTTTCTGGATGGCCTTCACCTGTGAGAGTGAGCTGTCTACTTCTACAGGATTGACACTAAACTTCACCTTGTTCTGCCTGTCTTCACACTCCTTCAGCCAAGAGCTCAAGTTCTCCACATGCTCCTTGTACTTCTGGGCCCTCTCCATCGCAGTGTTGAGCTTTTCCTCGCGCTCCGCAGCACTCCTCTTCACTTCCTCCCAGTTAGACTTGAGAGCTGAGAGCTGCCCTTGGAGAGCCACCTTTTCTGCTCCCTCTGTGCTCTGCAGAAGAGCCTCCCCTTCCTTCATGATGGTGCTATATGACTCCTCATGTTCACTAAGCGCCTTCTGCACTGCACTGTGCTCCTTCAAGTTCTCGCTCAAAGTCTCTACCTTGGCGGAGATGGACTGAGGCTCAGCTTGCTCCTGGAGCTTTTGGTCTAGCCAGTCCTGGAAGTTTTTGGACGTCTGATGGAATTGCTGGGAGCTGGCGAAAGCAGAGTTGAGCTGCCGAATCCGGTTTCCTAGTGAATGCAAAATTAGTTGTCAAGGTTAAATAAGTGAATAAGAAGATCCAATAATAGCCTATCGCAGGGGTCAGCAACATGTGGCTCTGCTGATCATTCTAACACAGTTTTAACAATATATGGTCTTAAATGCTGGATTTAAGGTATAACTGCTAATTCACCCTTTAACCCTGAAGGTTGACGCGCAGACTGCTGGTCACCATAGCAACTCAGACAATGGTCTCGCCTAGCTAGTAGCTAACAAAACAGCAAAGTGAAAGATTTAAGACGAACATCGATAATTTGGAGACAAATCGACTTATTTGCATTTAGAAGCTGATTTATAAGCTGATATGTTTAATCTTCAAAGGCAAACTGTCAAACACTAAAAAGCCACGAAGCTGAAGTTCTTCTTGTTCAAGTTTCCCTGTGCCTGCTGCACCATTTAAGGTGGAATGGGAAAATTACAACAAGAAGCTGGCGAATGAGAAGCGACTTCAGCCTCGTAAAAACTCAAATGTTGAGAGACATTTTACAAGAAACTGTTCTACTTTTGTGGAAAAGTTTCCTGCCAGAGATGTGAGAAAAGCATATATCTGAGCTAAAACTTAAAGCAGAGCAAAGTAAGTCTGCATTTTCGTTTATATTTCTTAGCCTATACTAGAACATCAGCACATACTGAGACATATTTACAGCCAAGATGGTAAAATGGACATAAAATGTTGTGGCTCCCAAAGTGGTTTGATTTTTGCAGAAAGGATCTTTGCTGAAAGGACTGAAATGGCTTTTCTTAACATCTGGGTTGCCGACCCCTGGCCTATCACATGGTGCCCATTTCAGCATAAATAAAATGTGTTTTCCACACTTTTTGAGGTACATGGCTGTAAATGTCCACATTTGTTTTTCCTTTTTTGTTTTATTTTACTTTCTAAGTGATGTGCTCAGAATGTGGATGGTGGTGTTGTGATTAATGTGAAATTCTGTCATCACAAGTACAGTACAGATTAAAACAGATATCCCCACATAAGAAACATCTGCTAATGTTGTTCTGAAGCAATGTAGTACAACATAGCTACTGGCATGCCTTAACACTGACACACCACAAAAAATCTTTTGAATAAATGCACTTCAACAGTCTGAGCAGTCACTTGGCAAGCCTCCATTACTGTAAATGTAAGCAATGACACATTTTTCAGGTACTGCACTTTCCAGAACAGTGTTAAATAAGGAGATCCAACAAACCTGCTTTGTCCTCAAGCAGCTTGAAAGGTTTGGAGACACTTTCCAGCTGCTTGGTGAGGTTGGCTCTGAGGTACTCTTCAGTCACCAGACTTGAAAGCTCAGAGCAGAGACGTTCTGCCTCCTTCAGCCTCTTCTTCTCCTCACACAGCTGTGACAGGATAGCATTTGTGTCCTCCAGCTGCTTCTTGACCGCATCAGGCTGCGTGCTGAGGGCCTGCTGGCCACTGAGCTGAGACTCCAGGACAGCTGCACTCTCACCCAGGCTCCGCAGAAGCTCCTGATACTGTGTGGTTTTACCCACCGCCTGCTCGATGAGGGCATCGCGCTGAGACAGCTGGCCTGTCAGGCCCTGCCACTTCTGCGTGATAGCAGCTACCTGTTCCTTCACCTTCTCTACTGCAGGGTCTTGCTTTCCAGATGTGCTAGTGATGGCCACAGCAGACTCATTCAGCTGCTCGTACTGTGGTTTGCGGCCTTCAAACTCTTTCAGAAGAATCTAAACAGGAGATTTGTTTCGATATATTAGAGACATACAATGTGTTCAGGTGTCACTCAGCTACTTAGTTTTGTTTTGGTACTAAAAACAACATGTTACAAAAAATGATCTTAAATTTAGTCCATATATCTACTATTTGCCATTTTGAGATGGTTGTGCACTTTATTATAAGATTATCTAGCTTATTTATAGACACTTTTCACTTGTTTTAAGTAGTTTCACTATACTGGCAGGTGATTTTGCTGGTTTTCAAGCGCATTTCTTAAAACAAGCAAAATTATCTGCTAACAGTGAGATAATTTTACTTATTAAAATGACTTAAAAACTAGTAAAAAACGTCTATAAACACGGTAAATAACCTTAAATTAAGCTTACAACAATCTTAGCAAGAGACATATTTGATTTTTTGACTATATTTAAGATAATTTTACTTGACAAGATACCATTTTTTGCAGTGTAGATGCAAACTTCAAAGATCTTACATGATCAGTTACATAGTTTAAAGAAATAGTTTAGCAAAACAACAAATTTACAGTCTTTCCCTTCCCAAATGTAGTCAATCAGCCAAATCATGCTGTCAGAGGCTTGCTTATTGAGTTTTGTGCTGCAGCTGCGAGGCTAATGTAGCTAACAAGTAATGTAGGTGTATATCCCACCAATTATCATGATGCAAACTGCATGTTAAATCATCAAATTTCGAGCCAAGTAATTGCAAATAGACATAAGAATGTGCTTTCTGACACTGTGTGATATAATATCACCTATAAAAATGGACAAAAGTACAGACAAAATTCAAGCTTCAGAATGGCTGCTACTATGGGATGAGTCAGACTATTCAAATCGCCATAAAGGTTTTAAAGATTAATAGTAAAGTAGGATTTTTTAATTTGCAAATTAGCTCCTCTCCATTTTATATTCACATATTTGAGAACCATAAGATGTCTGAACTCTGTACTCCACCAGGGGGCGGTGAAGAGCCAGTGTCTAATGTTTTGGCCAGAAGTTCTAATTTGTTGAGTCCAAAGAAGAACATGTAGAAAGACTACCGCAGCCGCCTGAAGGCTACTGCACACCAGTAGTACAGAGACAGTACAGAGATAGTACAGAGTGCAGCTATAGCACATAGGAAGCATTGCTGAAAAAAGCCTATAAACAAGAAGTTTAGATTCCTTTTGCACTCTGCTCAATAGATTTTGCTTTTATCTGTTTGCCAGCTAAGGAGAGATTAGGTTAGGTTGAACATTAGCAAAGGTGAAAACAGACACTATATATTTACCTGCTTATTACATTTTTCCATTTTAGTTACAACATCCCAAAGTGATTTAAATGGGAATATAAGTAAAATATTGAAAATGATAAAAGCACCACGCACTAAATGAAAATAACATCATAATTACAAACAGGAGACAATGAGCCGCAATACTTCTATGCACATGCAAGCCTAAATAATTCTGGATTTAAAAAACCTCTCAAGCTTGCATTCCTAATATTCTCTGGAATGCTATTCCAGAGTTTAGGAGCTATTTAAAAAATGATCTTCCATCAACTGAGCTGTAAGTGATCCTAAGTGTTTGCAGTAATCCCATTTCCCCCCATGCCCCTACCACTTAGCCCTTACCCCTCCGTTCTGCCCATTCACATCTAGGGGTAGGGTGTCCCGATTTGTGTTGAGATAGAGGGGTAGGGCGAAGTGTTAGAGCTACATGGCCCTCCAAATGGAGGTTTTTCAGAGACTCCAAACAGAGTGTTAAAAAAGCTGGCAAGATGGCTGAACAAGAGACCAAAGAAACCCACAAATGTGAGAATTATTCTGCTAAGGAAGTTATGGTAACCATTGTATTATCTTAGTTTAATGTTGTTTCAATGTATTATGGTCCTTTTCTTCATAACAAGCATAAAAAAGCGGTAGTAGTGCTGATATCTTAGTAGTTATCTAGCTAAATTTCCCGTTCCACCTTAAATGGTTCAAACAAGAAGCTGGTGAATATCTGACCTCAGCTTCATATCTCTGAAGAATTAGGGGTGGGCGATAATAAATAATTGCCCCCCTCTTTGAAGGCATATGATGCCCTAAATGTAACTAAAGTCCAGCAGTGAGGAGCTGAACTTTACCCTCCTCTGCTGTCACTGCAGACTGGCAGGGTCGCCTACAGAGCAGCGCTGGTAGCTGTTAATGAAGTGATGCTCTTTTTATTTGAGGGTCCCAGCATGTGGGTCCAGACTCGGACCGCGGTCCGCCTATTAGTGACCTCTGCTCTAAAGATTTATTTGAACATTTTTCAACTGTGTTTTATAAATTAATATATTAAATTTGACTGAAATGCCCATCCCTAGCTGCTACAACTGTTTATAGTCTTTTTGTCCAATCATGTGAGCAGAGTGTTTGATGTTTGATGAAATCTGATTTTTTTTCTTTTATCATAAGAGTCCTCTGCTTAGTGTGCACCATATTAAAAGAGGTTTATCTCTGTATTCACACAGTGGTTCCCATTACCTGTACTTGCTGTTTCTGAGTGTTTAGCATATTGGGGTCCATAGACAGGGGCCCCAGGACGCTCATCATCAGCTCTTTCTCCTGCAGCCACTGGGAGAGCTGCGTCTGGGTCGTCTGGAACAGCTCCAGCACACGGGAAGATTCCTCCAGGTGCTGCTTCCTGTTCTCCACAGAACCCACAACCTCCTTCCATCCTGCATCTATACATAGAGTCCACACATGCACATTCACTCACAGCTCCACTTCAGCAGAATACTGGGTCAAACTACATGGAGAAGCTACTCATCTACAGAAATGAGCCCTCATATGATTTCACTTGAGCGAAGAGCTGATGCAGAAAATAGCTGGTGTGCAAATTTGCACCTGGCCAACACCAGAGCACTGAAATAAATTTATGGCTGTAGATTAATGCTTTTGGAGATGACAGACGCATACCTATCTGATCCAGCATGTGCTTCCACTTTGCTGCCTCAGGTGAATCAGGGTTTTCCTCTATCAGGTGGAGCACCTTCTCCCTCAGCTGCTGGTACTGCTGCTGTTTTCGTTTCATGTTTTCCTCATAGGCCTGCATGACAAGAGGTAAAAAATAGGCATTCCTTTATCTACATAAACCACCACAGCTCAATTATTCTCCTCTTTGAACTTGAATTTATGCAGTGTGCCAAAATAGCGTGGTAGGGTAAATTATGGGGAGTGAAAATATACGTGATCAGTCACACTTAATTAAAGAGAGTCATGTACAGTTAGTCTGCAAGTGCTCAAATTGATAAACAACTAATCTGGTGACCCTGAGGTGATTTTTCACTAGTGATGCATGGTTCCGATTCATTGTTGTCGGCACCTGACCTTACCAAACAGGACCAATCCACTATAAACACTGTTTCTTAGACGCAGCAGCTCTAAAATGTGAGGGTACTTGGGTAACAATTTACTGTAGGAGGCTGTTCATAAGGCTACATTACACCTACATAAGGCTTGTTATGAAAACTGACATAAGCCTAAATGTTTATAAATACTTATAATGATAGGTCAATAGGTCATTTGCCAATTTTGATCAAAATTGGCTCCCTTTAAGTCACCTTTATGATAGTTGATGCCTCTTGGAATAAGCATTTATAAACATTTATGTTGGGTTATGTCAGTTGTCATGACAAGCTAAAGTAGGTTTCATGTAGCCTTATGAACAGCACCCTACAGTACAGTGTTAACAATAGTTGTTCCATAAAAACGCATTACATTAAATTTCACTTTTTATTAATGGAACTGAACGCTCTACATACAGATAATAATTATGAATGATCACATTATGGAGAAATAAATGCACCATGTGTTTCTCCACAAAGTGATGCAGCATGTCAAAATAAAAGCCCTCTTGACTTTTGTGACAAAATACAAGTCTTGTGTAGGAAAGTGTATCTAACTCTGTTGTGCCTCACCCCAACTCCGTCAGGAAATAACTATTTCACACTTTTACATCACTTTATAACAATTTAAAGCAGGCTAAAGAATAAAGAAGATAATGATTTTGGGGTAATCTAGTGGGGTGGGGTGTTCAGGAATCCTGGAGGGCCCGATTTCTGAACAGTTTGGTTATTTTCCTGCTCAAACACACCTGATTCAGCTAATCAGTTAACTACCAGCTTTGATTGGTGTGCTAAAGCAGGGAAATCACAAAAAAATGACCTAAAATAAATTAGTGGAAAGTGGTTCAATAAGAAATACTCAAGAAACATTTCGTAAAAATAGATACATCATGTCTTGGACTGAACTGTTCAACTAAAGAATTCCATTCCAAAATGCTGTATTTGTAACAATTTTGGATATACATTTTTAAAAAGAATAAAAAATGATGTATTATTGTATACATTTATATATCTCTGATAAAGGTGGTATTAATCATTACATAGCACTGATATTTAGGGTTAGGAGTTTCACATTAGGGTCAGAGTGAGTGTTAGGGCCAACTTAAGCTCCAGTTAGGTTGCATATAAATTTGTCTAAATTTGAAAAACAAGGGTTCTACCATGAACCATCCAGACAATTTCTACTGCAGACCATCATAACAAAACATAACCTATAGAACAGCACTGAGTCTACCTTCTGCTGTTCCATCTGTGTTTTCACCGAGTCTTTCACTGTGGGCTCAGAGCTCCAGGACGCTGCAGTCTTCTTCATGTCCTCCAGCCACTGCAGCATGGACTCAGCCTCGTCGTGGGCTCCTCGCACCTTCTGCAGTAGAGCATTTAACTCTGAGGACCGGCCCTTCAGGAAATCGCCAAGGTTCCTGTAACCCTCGCTGACACACGACATGTTCTGCTGCACCAGCATCAGCTCTGCGGGAGGCCAAAAACCAGACAGAGTCCCGTCACCATCTTAACCTCAACAATCCACAGCTCACTGTAAACAGCCGTGCCAAGAAGGGCAAACAAAACATATATATGCCCTCATGGTTTCTGTCTCAGGAAACAACCATACACAAATCTCCTAACCACCAACTGATATACACTTGTCTTTAAACTCACTGCTGCTGAATGGTATTTGTATTTATAGTGTTTGGCAGGCGTTCTTATTCAGAGGGACTTACAATTATCATGTTACAGACACAGGGTAATGCAGTGTTAGCAATCTTACCCAAAGCCTCTTACAGGGATACACCGATAAATTGTTCTTTTATTGTTATCTTGATATGAGTTTCTGATATAAACACACTATTGAGGGCTGCGATGGGAACGGAGCATTAGAAGCCTAGCAAGTGCTTCCCTGAGCTGGGCTTAAATCCTGCTTTCCTGTGTAACTTAATCATTCAGCTAAACACCCAGGTACAAAACACTGACACAGCACAGCTCCAAAACGACTCAGTCCTCAACCAGCCAGTAAAAATGCTTAAACATGATGACTATTTTCACTCTCAGTGTTGTGTGACAAAGAGACCGTTCAGTAAAATGTATGAAGCAGTAATGGCTACTGTCACAACAAACCTGCATTACCATAAGGAGCTTTTTAATGACAAATATAGATTTATTTGTATTTGAAGGCCTAAATTGGAAAAAAATAAATTAATTAATTAAAAAAAAAAAATATATATATATATATATATATAGATATATATATAGATATATATAGATATATTTACACACACACACACACACATACATATATATATATATATATATATATATATATGAGAGAGAGGGAGAGAGAGAGAGAGAGTTTGTAGCCTGACTGCAACATGTATAAAAAAAGCACTTAAATAGCTTCTGATGCATTATTGTGAAAGGTACTTTTGAGATTTACTTTTTTTTTTGCTATTTGCCTAAAGGAGAGGTTGGATTTCTGTTTACACAGCAAAATATTGAGGCACAATATTTAAAAATAATTTAGCGCTTACTGAATATCACATTTAATGTCCATACAGCCTTTGCACTTAATGATATAGCGTCCTTGCCAGGAACTGAACTCTAACCTGCCATGTGGACAGCAGTGACGTAACCCACTATGCTATATTTACAGCTGTTTAAACGCTTGGGTAAGATGCAGTATGATATACACTGAAATCTGTGAACTTTTACCTTTGTTAGTCAGATAGGCGTGGCCTCCTGGACCCGAGCCATTAGTCACTGGGACAGAAAAAGCATATTCCATCTGTTTGAGATCATGCTGGATAAACTGCACTGTGTGATCATGTCAGACAGAGTCATGCAGTAAGTGTGTGCATAAACTCCCAAAAATACTCTTAAGCAATACCTGATTTGTGATGCATTTTGGCTTTGGCTGGGGATGTCAAAACACTGATTAGGCTACACAGTGCAGATCCTTTACTATTTATATCCTGGACAGCGGGAGCTTTAGCGGTCCATTCTTCCAGCAAGCCCTGCAGGGAGAGAAATCCGGCTTGTAAAGCAGCTAACACACCAAAAATTCAAAATATGTGCCTGTAATGTCTTTGCCAACACTGCTAGGAGAAGCACGACATACTTCAGCAGCACCAAGAAAGAGGAGGCCATTCAAATGAATGTTTGAGAACTGATGAAAACTTTTTCATCCAAAATGTAACTGAGATCCAAACAGTCTTTGATGCTCTCCTGTATCTGGTTTCTGTAAGGGCTGGGCAATATGACAATATTTATTGTTGTCGTGATAAATTACATCACAAAATGTCTGTTCTGAGCAGTATATACTGTATACTGTCAGTACTTATTACTTCACAACTGCATATTTGAACACAAAGAAAGCATAAAGGCCTGTTTAACTGGATTGACTGCAGTGCAGAATGTGAAATGTTAAATATCATCAGTATAAAATCACTGTATTCATAGTATGTTTATTAAGGCTTTTTCTGTTCCAACTTAAAGGATACCATGAAAAATAATCATGACATTTAGTGATTCATGATATTATATTTTTGGCATATTACCCCCTCTAGATTCTTTATATGTAAATTTGTCTATTTGTTTTATGTTAAGCCTATTTTTATGTTTCATTAACAGTTTTAACAGGTTTTTAGCTTCATTTAACATCAGAAATTCTTTATGTTTGTGTTACAGGACGAAGGGCAATTCCACCAACTTTAAAAAAAATTCTGCATAATTAAACAGTTAATATGTATACAGACATCAGCTGTAGAGAAGCTTCCTAAGACAGAATTCTTCATAGTGGTGGCAATAGGAACCAGACGTCCACCTCTAGGCAAAATAATCCCAAAAGAAAATTTATCTTACTATGATCAACATTATATATAAACTCAGAAGACACGTGTCGGTTCACTGGTGGTTTTAGATAGTAAATGAAATGGCTCCACCACTGGCTATCACCACCACTGTAAAGAAATACACTCAGAATGACTTTGCTTACATCTCAATGACTGAAATTTTGAAAAACTGGTGGGATTTTCCTTTAACCTCCTGCACCAAATACACCTTATCTCATCGTTAGTGTGGTCCACATACATATACATACACATACATATTTCCCTTTTGTATTACATTTTGTCACTGTCCATAAAAACAAACAAAAACAAAAAAAAACAAAGCAAAACTCTTGCCTTTAAATTTTCATCGGGCAAATTATTGTCCAATAATTTACAGTGCTGCCACACATAGGATTTCTTTCTGAGGCATCTCTGCTGTCAGTGCTGTCAGTGGTCGTGTGGAAAGTGGTGCAGTTTAAAGACATTTGCTGATTAAATTTATTTAAAGCTACAATTTTTGTGGCTAAAAAAAGGAAATATTTCCGATTTACTTTCCAAGTATTTGGACCTGCCCAAGTTACTACATCTGTGCAACTACAATCTAAGCCTAACCAAAAATCTAAGCAACAAAAAAAGAAATAAAATATGCTGAAAAAAATTAAACATGCACACTTACAAATGATGGCTCTTCAAGGGTTCTTCAGTAAAGAAAACTGCTCCATATAGAACCATAAACAAAAGCTTTGCGTGATTAAAGGTTTCTTTGCACCATGAAAGGGTTCTTCAGACTGAGAGAGAATGTGTTGCATCCAAAAAGGGTTCTTCTATTGTTTTGATGTCAAGCTTGTTACAACAGAAGAACCGTTTTTGGTGCTATATAGAAACCTTTTCATAAGGGTTCTATATAGAACCATCTACAGCACATTTTCCATCAATCTAAAGATTTTTTAGCACCAAAAAAAGGTTCTTCTATTGTTACAAACTTGACATCGAAACAATAGAAGAACGCTTTTTGTGCTATATAGAACTCTTTTCAAAAAGGGTCCATAAAGAACCACATACAGCACATTCTCCAATCTGAAGAACCCTTTCACGATACAAAGAACCCATTAATCATGCAAAGGGTTCTTTGAGTGTTAATGGTTTTATATAGAACCATTTTCTTTACTAAAGAACCCTTGAAGAACCATCTTTTAAGAGTGTAACTTCTGAAAGAATGTTATAATGCTCTGTTTGTACTACGTCTTCTATAAAGATCTGAAAAATGTATAAAAAACAAGCATGTACACGTTTTACATCATTTACATATCATGTCTGATATTAGGGCCTGATGTGTGGATGTCTGATATTAGGGCCTGAAATGTGTAGGTGTCTGATATTACGGGCCTGACATGTGTAGTTGTCTGATATTAGGGCCTGATACGTGGTTGTCTGATTCTAGGGCCTGACATGTGTAGTTGTCTGATATTAGGGCCTGATGTGTGGTTGTCTGATATTAGGGCCTGAAATGTGTAGGTGTCTGATATTACGGCCTGACATGTGTAGTTGTCTGATATTAGGGCCTGATACGTGGTTGTCTGATTCTAGGGCCTGACATGTGTAGTTGTCTGATATTAGGGCCTGACGTGTAGTTGTCTGATATTAGGGCCTGATGTGTGGTTGTCTGATATTAGGACCTGACATGTGTAATTGTCTGATATTAGGACTTGAAGTGTAGTTGTCTGATATTAGGGCCTGATGTGTAGTTGTCTGATATTAGGGCCTGACATGTGTAGTTGTCTGATATTAGGGCCTGACGTGTGTAGTCGTCTGATATTAGGGCCTGACGTGTAGTTGTCTGATATTAGGGCCTGACATGTGTAGTCGTCTGATATTAGGGCCTGATGTGTGTAGTTGTCTGATATTAGGGCCTGACTGAAAAAGAGTGGTCAGACAGTGCGGGCGCTCACTCACATTGACTTTGTCCAGGTCCTTTCCCAGGCTCTGCTCACTGCAGTTGGGCTGAACCGCAGGCACTTGCTCTTTTGTCTCCTCCAGCCACTTCATTAGCACCCCTGCAGCTGCTTTGAAGTCACCCAGCTGGTCCTGGCAAGACGAAACCTCCTCCTCTCTGAAATGCACAGTGTCAGGACACACATACTGTTAGATTTTTTCATGACTCCGCAGCACCTCCACTGATGAGGCTAAACATGCAGGTGGCCTTTTTGTCATATTATTTTTGAAGATACTCTGATATATAACCCTAAGACAACTGGATCTGACTAAATTTAAACAAAAAAGGAAGGAAACAGTATTCCTGTGCAAAAGTGGGAGGAATTAAACAGCCCATAAAATGAAAACTGTCCTCATTTCCCTCACTTATTTGTTTTCTTCAAAAAAGCGTGATGTATTTGTATGTTTCAAGACGTACCCTGCACCCCTCGTATAGGTGGATATATCCATATATTCAGCCTACAGCAGTTTAGCCCCACCTACTCATATTAGAAGTTATAAGGAGTGTTTCAGCTCTGAGTGCTTTTGAGTGAGGCACAAAACATGGCAAATCAGAACAGAGCTCATTTACATATTTCAGTGTTACAGTTGCAGTAAGAAAAGCAGCCTGTTTAATTCTAAAGGATAAAGAGAGGCTGGAAAACGGTCACGTTAAATGAACTATGACTTGTTTTTGATACATAAACCCACAAATACGTTATAAGTGGGAAAAACAGAATACAAATACATGATATGGGCCATTTTAAGAAGCGAACACTTATATCTGACGTGTCTAAACAGCCTGTTCAAATTATAAGGGGTAAAGAGAGGCTGGAAACTGATCATGTAAAAATAAATCAAGACTAAATCAAAACCTACATAAATGTCAGCAGGGAAAAAACATAAGAAAACTGTAGGATACAGTCCTATGCAAGTTTTGCTGCTTTCCTAAGTGAAAATAAGTCAATACGTCCTCTACAGTGAACAAATTGCATTTTGCTGCTGTCTGAACAAAACCTTGAATCTCCAAAATGGTAACTTTACAGGAGAAGGAAAAAACATGCTTTACTTTTAATGTAAGTCAATGGAACCAGACGTTTTTCCAAGTCATTTTGAGTCACTTCTTTTAGTCGATTCATCATGAAATTTACACACAATGTAAAGGACTAAAGGCCTTTTCAAATTATGTTAAAAACTAAAAAAGGTCAAAAATAAATATTTTATAAACATAAAATATAACATGCATTTTGACTTTTTTGTTCCAGTATATTAAATTCAGCAAATAAACTGCATTAAAATGTGCAGAAGTGTGTCTCTGTAGAAAACGTGTTATTTTCACTTTGAAAATCAACAACACATGCAGTTTAACCAGGGACGCCAAAACCTTTACATCCATCAACTGCTTTGCACTGTATGGGCCATTTCAAACAAAGTGATTAAAGCATGGCTTGGGATCTACTCTATCACGGTCTTGGCCTGAAGGACACTCGAAGAACACTCACTTCTCTTTAACGGTGTCTCTGAAGGCGTTGAACGTGTTCGACAGGTTTGCCATTTTGCCCTGAATCAGAGCTTTACTTCCTTCCAGGCCTGAGCTGGAGAGCTCTTTAGACAGCATCTGCAGGGTCTCCATGTCCTGTACATGTTCAGCCAACTCTGCGTTTGTGTCCTGAAGGCAGAATCGGAATGTTTTAGTGTAAATCAAACTCATGGCTACATAAACTGTCTTGTGCGGTGAAAAATAGCACTTTGGGAAAGAATGTTTTTTTTTTCAGCGAATATCTTGGGAAATACCTGCACCAGCTGAGAGAGCTCGTTTACGTTCTTTCCAGGTCCATCCGTCTCGGACAGAGCTTGAGAGCGTTTCAGCACAAACTGCTGTACCTTCTCGGACGTCTTCTCGAACTGCTCCACCTTCTCCTTCAGCTGCTCCATCTGCGACACCTTCTGCTTGTGCTTCTCGCAGGCGTCCGTAAAGCGCTGAGAGAGGCCCTCCATCTTGGTCTGGAGCAGAGCGGCCGCCGCTGGCTCTGCGGTCTCCGCAAACTTCTTCACCTTGGCCTTCATGGCTGAGATGCTGCTCTGCCTGCTGGAGATGTCCTGCTCCAGCGCCTGTTCACGAACATGAAAGGACAAACATGTTTTATTGTGAACTACAAGCTTTCAGTCTACGTCACATTTAGCTTAACTTTAATTATACTGTTCCTATAAACAGGGATCCTTTAAGGAATAAAGTCAATCAGAGAAGACATGTTTGGTGTCTGAAGGAAAACAGTAATAAATGTGACAAAAAAAAGAAAAAAAAAAGAAGAAATGTTCACCTGATTTGCACTACGACCCAAACGATACTAACATTCTGTGGCGGATACCGATACCGATTTAAAGGTACTGATTTGTTACTTTGATACTGAACAGTATCAACTAATACAATTGCATGCAAAAGTGTGGACACCCCCTGTCAAACTGCATGTTTGTCACAGAGTAAAAACTCAACAAAAATAAAATCATCATCTGAATCATCATCATGATGCCTCCATAGGCAATCCACACCACATCCACACCTCAGACTCTGATCTTACTGTAAATTCTATCTAGCAAATCTATACGTGCACATATCGACTGACTTCTTACACATGTTCTATCCACATCTTGTATAATCTGGAATATATCGCTGCTGTTGGAAGAAAACCTCGTATCTCCAAAATGGTGACTTTACAGGAGAAGGAAAAAACATACTTTACTTTTAATGTAAGTCAATGGAACCAGACGTTTTTCCAGTCATTTTGGGTCGTTTCTTTTGGTCCATTCATCATAAAATGTAAACACAATGTAAAGAACAACAGGTATTTTCAAATTATGTTAAAAACTGGAAAATGACAAAAAAGGAGATACAAGCTTTTCTTTCAACAGTAGCAAGGTATACATATATATATATATATATATATATATACATTTATATATCAATGTTCTATCCTCTATGTACCCTGCATCTCATTTATCTACCTCAAATGCTACATATTATAGCTTTTATTTCATAACTTACATTACTGTACAAAAACTGTACATTGGAAATGGTGTATACTAATGTGTATATGTTTATATATTTAGAGTCTGATGTGTGTGTGTGTGTGTGTGTGTATATATATATATATATATATATATATATATATATATATATACACACATATGTATAGTTTTTTTTCATATTATAGTTTTTTTCTTATATATTTTTGCATATCTAAATACTAAAAGGGGCTACACATCTAGGATTTTTCACTCACCTTCACACCTGTGTAAATGTGACATGACAATAAACGTGATTTGATTTAATAACAAGTGGGGTATTCGAGCTCAGGCATCTCACGGTTCTGCTGAGAATGTCCAACATTAGAGCCAATCTCATTTGCATATCAAACAACCTAATTTACTATTACATTTTTCAAACTTTCACAACTATTTGAATATATATTTTAGTGTTTCTATGCCAAATCAACAAGCGTTACACACAAAGCAGCAGAAAGTGACTTAAAGTGCAGCACACTGGTGCATGAAAGAACCTGATCAACATTGGAGCGCGTTGCAAGAGGTAGCAGCAGTGAGGCTGATGCTTCTGGGCAAAAATACTGCATACTAATAATACTAAGGACAATAATCAGTGAGTTTGATGGTCGGGAAACACTGCTGTCAATACTTAGTAGCTGTATTAGCCTGATTTGGCACCAGTGCCAAATTAAAGAAGCAAACTTATTTGGATTATGGTCTGCTCTTGGTGGGAAGACGTCACATACCGCCTCCTTGCTGAGTGCATCTGCGATGGCATCTGAGTCCAGGGGCACCTGTGCTTCTTTCTCAAGGCTCTCCTCCACCTTCTCCATCCAGTTCATCATCTCATCCAGCCCATCCTGCACGCTCAGCGAGCGCGTCAGCGTCACCTGCAGCTTCTCGTTACGGTCACTCACTGATTTGGACAAGTTATCGTACCTTTCCACGATGTCATCTGGAAACAGACAGTTTGCAGGCAAGTTAAATGTGGATACCAACATAATTCCATGTGAAAAATTGCTCTAGCAGTATATTATTAATATACTTTAACTATGGACACTGGAAGGTCACATACTATCCAGAGCCACGTGTCCATGCCGCTTGAAAGGAACTTTAAACAGAAAGGTCAAAGTGAGGATGACTCACCCACTGCCTCCTGAATCTCATCCTGATTGGTCAACAGGTCTCCCTCCACAGCAACGAGAGCATCTGCTACTTTGCGTAGCGTCTCCACTGCAGCCTGGTGGCCAGTGGTTTGCCCTTGAAGAGCCTGAAGCGGACAACTGTCCGTTAGTGAGACTGTTATGATTCAATTTAAATCACTAACCTTTACCTGTATAATGCAGTAAAAAATGGAATTAACTGAGATATGTATTGTGATATAAGTATTTAACAAATACATTAAAAGACAAAAACAAATACAAAAAAAGAATATTATTTAAATTGTAAGGATGCACCGATCTGATTTTTTCTCTTCCGATACCGACTGCAATATTTTTTCTTTCTTTAATTTAAATCTATAAACCTCATATAATGTGCTGTTACTACTGAAGAGTTCATTCCAAAGCATGACATACCTATTTTTAAAACTTTGGTAATTAAGGCTTTTTAAAATCGATATAAACGTAAAAAGTCTGAAACAATTCTTTACTGATGAAGCTGATGTGAAAAACAGCAGGAGAACTGCATAGGGCTTTTATTTCATCACAATTTGTTAGGAGGGGCTAATATTTTTTATTTTTACAACAGTAACATAACAGCAAAACACCAGAGGGCGCCCACGAGCGAATCATTAATAAATGTGAGTGAATGGAGCTGAATGGCTAAAAAACAGGAAAATTTAACATCCTTTAATTTACTACTGAGCGCTGATTCGTTTGCATTACTGCTACTGAGCACTGATCGGTTGGCTTTACTGCTACTGAGTACTGATTCGTTGGCATTACTGCTACATTACTGCTACTGAGTTTTGATTGGTTAGCATTACTGCTACTGACTTTTGATTGGTTGGCATTACTGCTACTGAGTGGTGATCGGTTAGCATTACTCCTACTGAATGCGGATTGGTTGGCATTACTGCTACTGAGCGCTGATTGGTTGGCATTACATAACAGTAGCGCTAAAATAAATACGTTTAATAATACAATAACAATAAAAATGTTTAATCATTTAAAAACTGCAATTTGGCACAAAATCTCAATAGAAATTTATCCTTGCTTGAGAGCGCCCTCTAGCATCAGACAAACCCTGAAGAATCCTGAAGAAATTCTCTGGTTTCATTGCCTCAAACAAACAAGTTTTCCTGTAATATGCACACTCCTAATTATTAGCTGCATATGTATTACAATTTCAGTTCCATTAATAATAACACAAAGTGAGAATTTGATGGTGTTTTGGAGTGACTCTCTTCCATTAGAGAGAGACTTAGAACTAGAAACAGTATCATTAGTGGATCATGACTGGCTGATACCTGATCTGTTCAAGACACAATACGTTCCACAAATATCACTGTCAATGAAAATAATAATGTTATCATGATAACAGTAGGTATCTCTAACATGGTATCATCAGTCTGGCTTATTGCCACTCCACATATACTGAAATGAGCTGCAGGCCTGCTGACTGACGGAAGGAAATCATTGATTTGGAGATAATCAGGGCTCTGTTGAGATCTCACACTAGAAATCTCATGCCAGCAGCCAGTGCCTCCAACTCTGTGCTCAGCTATTTGTGCCTTTCATGCCGCCTTGTGTTTTGAGAGGCCTATAAAAAGCTCTGTTGTTTTTAAAGAGAGTGGAAACACTGTATATGGAGAGGCTGGACTGCAGAGTAATGACCTCTCGGCCCTTCCGAGACTTAACAACGTGAGCAAATTCTGAACAGACAGCTGTGAGAACAGCTTTTCCACTCGCTGTTGTCTGAGTTAGATGGAAATATTTTGACTGCGGTGATGTAGCTGCGCGTGAGCGTGTCTCGTGCCTTGGTATCTTCCAGTTGTCTCTGTAGTGTCTGTGGATCTGCAGCAATAGGTTCAGACTGCTGTCTTCTCGCCTCCTCCTCTGAATTATTCAGCCACGTCAAGAGACCACCAGTAGCATCTTCATACTTCTTGTACTTGTCAACCACGTCTTTGAGGTTGGTTCCAAGCTGGTTGCACTGAGACAAAAGTACAGTCTGAGTACTTCGAGTACACAATCTACACATTTTCAAATCAATACTATTCAAATCATAATCAATAACTAACAAAGGAATTTACTGGCAGAGGAAAAAACACTGAAATATTCACTAACAGTCTGGAACTTCTGGTCATGCAGATAAACAAGTCTATTTTGTTTATTGGTACAGAAATGTCGCCATCTATTGGTTAAGACTGTGAAGTACTGCCTTGTATCATTCCATCATGTGCAGTAAATCCTGCTCTGTGCTGATATAAATATATCTAATTATAATAAAGTGCTCAATGAACTGACTTGTGTATATTGCAGCATCAACAATTTTAATTATTTTAACATAAATAGTGCACTCAGACTAAAATACAGGGGCAACTGTGGTAGAACTATTTAGTTAAACAGCTACACAAATACAGCTTATGCCTAAATATTGTATGGTTTTTGTATTATTTTTGATTTATTTGTTAAAAATCTGTAGCTTAATCAAACTAAGGTCAAAAGGTCAATGTGTAGGTGCCCAACATTAGTATTCTAATGGCTGTTATGGGACGACAGGGAGGCGGACCCAAGTGCAGGGAGGAAAACCCATGAAAAAGAGTCTTGAATGAATTTACTGAGGTGATTGAGTGTGAATTTGGTGATTGTGCACGTTGGAGTTGAGGTGGCTCAGAGCCCGTACTAGTCACCCCTCTACACAGGTGTGACAAAGGGCTGCTGTTTGCCACAGCCTTAAGCAGAGGAGTCCACAGACGTGCCAGGTTGGGCCTAATCAGCCCGAGGGCTTCTGGGATTTGGAGTTCCCTGAACTTACGGCACCTCACCGCTGTCGCCCCCTGCTGGCAGCCGGCAGCGCAGGCTAGGCCCTTACACCGGCACCATAGTACTTGGACCCCAATGATTACCACATGTGCTGTGATTGGCTGTAAATGGTTGTTTAGCCCTCATAGCAGGTACAGTTTACAGAAATCAAGGTGTTCTAGATCAATTTTAGATGCAAACTAACTGGCTCTTTTGCTGCAGTAACAGCCTCTACTCTTCTGTGAAGGCTGCTGGAACATTGCTGTGAGGATTTGATTGAGCTTTAGTGAGGTCAGGTACTGATGTTGGATGATTAGTTCTGTATCACTTAAACTCATCCCAAAGGTTGGAGCTTCATCACTCCAGAGAACACAGCTCCACTGCTCCACAGCCCAATGCTGGGGGGGCTTTATACCCCTCTAGCTTCGCACTGGGCATGGTGACCTTAGACTTATGTGCGGCTGCTCCAGATTGGTCGATGCATCAGCAATGGGTGACCTTAAAGTAGCCTAATTCACTCACTAGAAGGCTTTTGGACATACAGCGTGGATGGCAGTAAGTCATACTGTGTCAAAAACCATATAAGCAAGTCTGTATGAGTTTACCTTGCAGCTCAACACAGTTTGAGGCGAGTGAGCCATGGCTTATGGGATGCTGTTATGCCAAATGCTTACTGGTGGACTATAAGCTTCAATTACTGGTTGGCCACATCAGCCTGGTAATTGCAAACTACAGACGCCAAACATTTCTTAGCTGGTCGGCTATAATTGGGGAGGTAGTGGTAACTCCACACATACCTGGGTGTGCAGGGCTTTGTATTGAGCGGTAGCAGAGTCCAGCTTCTCCTTCACTGCAGCACACGTTCCTGAGGTGTCCACCTCCGGCAGTGCCTCTTTATCTCCAGACTCACCCTGGCTGCAGGTCTTGGCCACATCCAGCACCTTCTGGCCTGAGATGGTGATGAAACGCAGGTCTCCCTTGTGGGAGATCACGTCCTCATAGAAGCTTTTTTGCTTTTGAAGTTTCTCTTGCAGAACCTCCAATTGGCCAGCAGGAGCTCCCAGCTCTTCCACCTGCTCCTGAGCCTGCTGCAGCCAGCTCTCAAACTCTACACAGTCGCCCTTGAACTTCCGCAGTTCCTCCTGTACGCTCTGCACCTGCTTCATCTGCTGCTCAGCCCGGGTCAGCGAGGCCTCGTAGCGCCCCCTGAGCTCCTGGATGTTCCTCTGGAGCTTCTCTTTCTCAGCAGGAGACAGAACTTCTGCCTGCTTGTCCAGCAGAGCCTGTGCTGACTGGGTGGCAATAATCAAGTCCTGCTGCTGGGAAAGGATCTCCTGGTGATGAGCCTGTAGAGTGAGAATAGAATATGACATCTGCAGGCTTGTGTATTTTATTTTCCCACACAATTTTTCATTTCGGAAACTAATTACTATATTAGAAAATCCTCTAACCCCTGTATGTCTGGGTGCTTCACTAACCGTTTTTACATACCTAGGGGTCCTTAGGGACATATATAACACAAATTCATCTGCCGTAATGGTATAAAATTGTCAAAACTATTTTTGACAATTCCAAAATAATAGAATAAAACATACTTTCTGCACAGATCTATGAATTACAGCACTGGGCTATAGCAAGCATACTAAGCTACACATTACACATTAAGCAATTTATTCTGAGCAGTTCTTTCTTATATAATGTAAACTCAGTTTTCTGTCCAAATGGGCATCGTCAGCTTACCTTAACCCTCTCATACTGCTGGTCTAGATCCAACTCTTTGCTGTCTTCACTTCCTCCTGACCATTCTGGGCTATTATCTGTGCTGTCCAGTTCATTTCCGTTAGGATCATCCTCCTGTCCAATCAGTCTTTTTCCTTGAGTGTCTACTGCCATGTTTCCATTCTGTTTGGACACTTGGTCTTTTTGCATTCCTCCCATCTCTTTCTCTTTCCCAATGTTGGATATCCAGTCTAAAAGACCCTCAATCTTGTTTTTGCTCTCTTCAAGCTGCTCCACGGCTGCAACCTGAACACAAAGATGATGATTTTCTGGGTAAAACTGACCTCAGTACTGTGTTATGTAGTTGAGGGACGCACCAATATAGGAATTAGGGGCTGATGCTGACACATAAACAATTCAAAATGTAGAAAGAGGCTGCATTTACTTTCTTACACATTTAAATGCAGTCTGCAAATACATAAAATAGTCATATGTTAGAGCAGTAGCCCAGTCTAAAGATTTTGCTTTTCCAAAGTACAACAAATACATCATCAAATATCAATTTGAAATATCAGTCAATCAGTAATACTTTATTTGAAGGCTACCTACATAGAGACAGACATGCATGAACACTGATAATATTTCTAAAACAATGCTTGAACATTTAGAAATTATTAGAATTATTGGAAAGATGACAAATTATTTGATCTGTTTTATATACGTTAATGACATTGTACTAACCTAAAGGGCCTTAAACTAAGTGATGTGTTTGTTATGTGTTTGTTTTTGTTGATTTGTTGATGATGACTTCTGACTTAATATAATATGTAAAGTTCTAAAAACAACACTAATGAATGCATTCGAACCTTCTCTGTCTCCTGTTTGATAGCTGTCGTCACAACTTTCTCCAGATCTTTCCTGGACTCCTCTGCTCTCTGGTTAAGCATATTGGCCTTGCTCTTAGCCTCTTCCAACTTGAGCTCAATAGCGGCGATCTGCTCTGGTGTGAGTTTGCTCCGATTCTCCTCCAGGAACTTCTTAGTGCTGCTGATGACTTCATTCAAGGCACTTGCATTAGCCTGGATGTCTTTCTGCAAAGCCTGATCAGCCAAAGGAAACACTGTGTTTTATAACAGTCTGTGATTTACTACCAATAAAACTACGGATCCTCAACAGATAGACAAGTTGAACACAGGTACACAATAGCTGTGTCCCAATTCAGGGGCTGCATCCTTCAGAGGCTGCATTTGAAGGCAGAATGTGTCACAGCGGCGCGACTAGTCTGTCCTATTTCAAAGGCCCCTTCATATGTGGCCCAGAAATGTGTCCTTCTTTTCCATGGCAACGAAGGATCCAGTGAGTGGATCCTTCACCAGCCAACATATCCTGAGGTTTACTGTGTGCCGGCGAGGATTCAAGAACATGGCGGCATCAGCAGAGGAGCGAACGGCGGCTGAGGAGACACTTAAATTAAATAAATGAAAAAATGCCAAACATCAAAGTTTCTGGCTCCATCCTCAAAGAACTTAAAAAGAACTTGACAGGAGCGGCGTTTCGTGATGCAACAGTGAGGGCTGGAACAAGAATACTGTGATGCAAACAGGAAATCCGCCGCAGAGCAGACGGTCTCATTTCGGTTCAGCCTTCGAAGGATGCAGCCTCTGAATTGGGACACACTGATAGTGTTTTTCTCAGTAAAAGAGATCAGTGTACAGACCTGGTGCTCTTGCTGGTACTGCTGGAGGTCTCCCACGCTCTTCGCCAGTACTGCTTGTTGCTGGTGGCCAATGAGACGGTTCTCAGTCTGTGTTAGGTCATCACACATCTCCTGAAGCTTGGCTACAAACTCCTTCTGCTTTTCCGCTGCAGTCTAGCAGCAAAAAGAACAGTTTTAAAAAAGAAGATTCTTTAAAAAACGTTCTGTCAAGTTAACAGTTATGATTACACAATGACAACACATCTGAGTATGCTGTAAACATGCTAGCCATCCAAAAGGCTCAGTTATTGGGCCAAAATGACAAAGACAAAAGCAGACAGGTAGAAGTTCTCTTGGCTGTGTTAGTGCTGACGTGTTGGAAAGCATTCCACAGAAGATACACAGTGTCAAATTTTGGTCCTCTGGAGTAAGAGCTGATTCCTTCAAGCCTAGAAGGTGAATGCGATCAGAAAAGAGTAAGATATCAGGCTGTGATCAAGCAATGGCCTTTTTGTGTTGTTAAAATCTCATGCAAAGACAGACAGATGACATCTGGACATTCGGTCAATGTCAGTTTGCAATACATCACAAAAATATTAATTAAATACCTAAATAAATACCAAAATATTAGAGGCTTAATACATCGAATGCATTTTCAAAATCAATTCATTCGTTCTCAATAAAGCCCAGCAGGATGCAGAGTCACGCAAACCTGCTGCAGACTCTCATCTTCACGGATCTCCAGGTGGAGGTCCAGTGTGTGTCTCTGAGTGAACACTCTGTCCATCAGCTCCTTAAAGGCCCTCTGTGTGGCACTGAGAGATTTCAGTAGCTGTCTGTTCTGAGCCGGACTCAGGAACTGCGCGTGCTCAGAGATAAAGTACTGGACATCAAAAGCTGTATCTTCCAAATGCTGTCCAGTTCCAGATAGGTTCTTTTCCAGGTCCTGAATGAGAGGAAGAGCAAATAAGTTTTAAATGTGTATATGGTCAGCGACATGATGTGCATTTTCAGTCTCCAAATAAATTTCCTGTCAAATAATTTAGTAAATACATGCATAAACATAAAACATATGTTCAAGCAATATAACACGAGAGGGAGTGTGTTATCGCGAAATTACATCACGGCTCTGATTTGGTTGCTGTAGATCATCACAGCCGTGGTGTTATTGGCGATAACACACTCCTCGAGTGTTCTATTGCTTTTATACAACAGTTAAATAAATAAAGTAATAAATTAATAAACTGGGCCGTGAACGCGGCGTTTAATATGCTTTACTGTTCGCAGTTCCTTCAGCCAAATTATAGTTCCTTAACGAGCAGCTTGTTGCTACGTCAGAGTAACGAACTCCGCTGAGTCATAAAACTGCCGCAATATCAAGTTCAGCTCAGTTTTGTCATTTTTTGCCAGATCAGTATTAATGTTGTTTTGTTCCAGCCAGTCTGTAAAGCATCTTACAGCCCATTTAGTTTGGCGAATGGTGTTGGGTTCATTTCTGGCTGATTCCAGGTTGTTTAGCTGTTCTTCTGTCACAGCTGCCGACTGAAAAGCTGCTCAGTGGTGATGACAGTTTGGGAAATTTAGTGTCGTCTCATCTTCAGAGTCTGACCAAATCGGCTGTCGGTCAAATGTGATCTTAGAAGTGTCCATTTTCTGTTTGTGGCAAAGTTAGAAGTAAAAACGTTCAAATGGCTTGAGCGTCTCCTACAGCTGTCAAAGTCGTTGCTTAGCAACGGCGTCTCAGCGGAGTGCTAGTTTTTGTGTTAGAACGTTTCTCAACCAGTCAGCTTGCATGGCTGGAACTAACTGTTGTATAACGTGTTAATGCTTCCCAAATGTAAAGTAGCATGACTGTACGCCCACATATGCACATTAATAATACATAAGGTATTAAAAAGTGTTGACTGGTCATAAATAAAATACGATTGGAATGTTTTTATATTTCATACATCCTTTAAAATCACACAGCAAAACCAACAACACAGGACTTTAACACTTCTGAGTCATGTTAGGCTGGTTCAGTTTACTAAATTACGTGATGTGACCCCATGAAGACCACAAACTATCATATTTGCTATTATGATACTGCGTATTTATTTGAACAAATGTATAGTCCTATGCAAAAGTTTAAACACCCCTGATCAAATTTTAGCTTTTGTTGTTCTTCTAAGTGACAATAAGTTAATATACCCTCCACAGAGAACACACTTCTGTACATTTTAATGCACAATTGCTGTTTATTTGCTGAATTTAGCATATTGAGGAAAAAAATAAATAAAATTTGTCCTGTGCAAAAGCTATTTCACATTTAAGTTAGAAAATCGACAAAATGTTTGATGGGTATATCCAAATTTTGCAGATGGCTGTATGTATAAACTTGAGCTTAGGGTTCAAGTACAGAGGCCAGTTTATACATGTTTTCGGTAGTGTGTAGTAGTTTCAGTAATGTGTGGTTGTGCCACCTGACAGTGAGTTTTAGGTTACACCACATGTCTGGGTGGTAACCCCCCCCCAAAAAATAAATAAATAAAAAACTCACTCTGTACTACTATAACAGCTAAAAAAACAAAAATCACTATAGTTAATAGATTCTTGCTAATACAAAATGTATCAGCAAGTGCATTTTTAATAAGAATGTTTTAATTTATTGTTTCAAATAATATTATTTGTCAGTGACCCACGGTTAAAAACCTAACATTGTACTCTTTTCAAACAAAAATCTTAAGATTTTTATCTTAAGATTAACTTTAACAATTTATTTGTAGATTCATTTTACAATAATTTAAATTCATTTCACAGATGAACGGGAACCACAGAACAAAATGAGCTAGTTTGCCTTTGACTAATAAATCTGCAGGATTTAAAAAGTTACCTTATTTTGCTGAATCCTGTATTTAACTGTCTCCAGGTCATCAGTGTTCATGATGTCAAGCTTACATACCATCTCATAATTATCTTCAATACAAGCTGACAGTTTGTCAAGGCGGCTGAGAAGATCCTGATATGTGGACTCCAAATTTGTCTGAAACACATTCACACATGGACAGTGAACTTATGACCTTTCCATCAAAGCCAAATCCCTGAGTTCTGTCACCACTGTGGCTATTTCTTCTAATCCAAGAGGAACACTGTCCACTTTCTCAGACACTGACCTTCGCTGCGTCAATGGCCTGAAGAATCGCACTACTTCGCTCAGCTGATAACTGGCAAACATCTGAGAAAGTATTTTGCAAATCTACAAAGGCTGCAGCCAAATCCTGGTGGATCTGCGTGGGGGTGAGCTCATCAGCAGAGTTTAGAAGCAGTTCAGCTCTCCCCAAATCTGAGGTTAAAATGCCAGGAAAAGCAGCAAGCTGTGTCTCCAAAGACTAGAAACAAAATGTGTGGGATTAGACAAAACAAAAAAAAGGAATGAGAAACAGAACGGAGAGAGACGCAAACATGCCCAAGCACCTAAGCGGACAGAGAAAGTCTCAAGAAAGTAGGCAAAAAAGGTTTCATGTATTTGCTGATGGACAAACCTGAGCTTCTTGTAGCTGACAGTGTAAACCCTCAAGGTCAGTAGTCAAAGGGCCCTGGGTCAACAAATCGTTTCTAATATCCTCAAGAGCATCATGGTGGTCCTGGAGTTTTCCAATGCACTCCAAATAATGCTGAGTGGAATATCTCTGTAAAATATAGAAATGAAGACACATATTTATCCTGTCGGTTCTAATAATATGTACTAATACCAAACTGTTAAAACACCTTTTTCTCACTTTTTGCATTAAAACACAGCAAAAAATGGTATCCTGGCACCATAAATCACATCACTATATCTAATATATCTAATTTTGTAAGCTTATTATAAGATTATTTAAATTAATTCTACACATTTCTTTACTTGTTTTAAGTGATTTTATCAAATGGAATTATTTCACCACTGACAGATAATGTGCTCGGTTTAATATGACTGAAACAAGGAATATTATTTGTCAGCAAAGTGAGATAATCTAGATGCAAGTTAAATAATCTAATAATAATGTTACAACAATCTAAAAATAAAAATGTTATTTATAAGTTAACTAGATTTATAGTAATTTTACTTGCCAAGATACCATTTTTTGTGGTGTTTTATCATAAAAAAGCCAGAAAAATGAGGATTGGCATATGTATATATATATGTTTTAAAGTGAATGGGCGGGGCTAAAGAGCTATAAGCTATAAGCTTATGCAAGCTAATAATTGTATATATGTAAATGTGTTGGTTTTTGTTACATCACAAAAAACAATGCATTCAAAACAAGCTATTTTTGCAGCTTACTTTTCATGTACAGACTGGGGAGTGAACGACATATTTAGAAACAATATTTACATACTACGTCAACTGCATTACTACATTACATACTACGTCTGATCTAAATTGTAGTACAAATTTACTTCAAGTTGACTCACTCTGGGTGTGACTGGGTCCTCCTCCACATTCTCAGGGGTTGTTGATGTTGTCTCAAAGGACTGCTGAGACAAAACTGATTGAAAGACATCATCTTTACAGACTTCACTCGTAGCTGTGGCCTCCGTCTCGGCACTTTCTGAACATGTGCCAGACTGAGATGTGCTTTTCAGGAGACCACTGAGGTTCCCAAAGAGTGCTTTCAGGACTGTTGGGTCTTTGCACTCAGAAATTCCCTGAAACACCTCCAGAAGCTGAGACTGCGTTAGCACCGGAAGCCTTTGTTCATGACCATCACCACACTCACTTTCTGGATTCATTCTCTCATGCTTCTTCAAGTCTTGCAGCAAATCTGGATCTTTGCTTTCAACAAGGCATTGAAGGACAGGCTCAGTGGATCCACCTTGCATGGCATGCTGGATGAGGTGAACAATGCTGTCAAGGGCTTCAGTCTGGGTTCTCTGGATCTCATTCTCACTCTGCCCTTCACTGAAATAGGAGCTGGCGTCACTTTTAGGGGGAACCTCCCTCAACTCTTGTGTCTTTGAAGGCTTTGGATACAAAGCATCTCCACTGCATGGTTCAACACTGTCTGTGTCGTGAGATGTATTAAAATTAAGCTGACTTTTGTCAGATGAATTCGGTAACACAGTATCTGGCTGCAATTCAGCAGAGTTTGATGGCTGTATTCCTACATTGTGAGCTGGGGGTGATTCTGATTCCACAATTTTATCTGATGCATTTTGGGAACCAGTTGTTTCATATATGCTGATAACTGCAATGGAGGAGTCTGATTTAGGCATCTTGGAGTCGATGGCAGCTGACTCTGCTTTATCTGGGGCCTGGAAGGAAGACTGGGTGGGGTGCTCAACTAATTGCTTTGAGTTATTGGTATCTCCACTTTCAGTGTTGCTCAGAGTTACATCTGGCAACAATGTCAAGGGTGTCACCACTGGTGTAGTGTCTCTGGAGAAAGCTTGTGAGATGTCCATAAATTTAGATGTTTCAACACTGGCAGCAGAGTCAAAATCATCCCTACGGTCAATAATTCCAACATGACTGGATTGGGACATTTCGGAGCTCTTGGCTTCATCTGACTTGCTTTCATGCTCAGGTCTTCCCACACTTATGCTATTCTCTAGAACTGAACACCGATCAGGATCTTCCTTATTCATCTTTCTTTGACCATTTTGTGAATGAGGCAGTACATTCAGGTCCAGATGTTGCTCATTTTGACTTGTCTTCTCCATATCTCTCTGCTCCGCTGACTGAGACAATGTGGCACCTGAGGATAAAGATGGCTGATGATCCTTTACTCTATTGACGTCTTCATCTTCTGACAGTAAAGTTTTTAAGTGTGTAGAATATCCATCGCTGGTGGGTGTTCTTGCCGTTTGCTGTGAGTCGCTGATCTGACCCAAGTTCAGTAAACTGAACCGTTCATCTGAGCAAATATCACTTTGCGACGAGCAGGATATCCCAGAGTCGCTCTGAACAGGGCTTACCATCAGGTTTACTGCTGCCTCATTGTCTAAAGGAACTTTGTGCAATGCATCGTAAGAAACCCCATCCTTCTCTGCCTCTTTTTGGGTTACATTCCCAAACAGCATGGAATTTCTATCAGCTTCAAGGTCCAAATTTTGGGGGTCCTGTGAATCTTTGGTGTGAACAATGTGATCAACCACATTCTCTGTCCCTGGATCACTATCATTTGCTGCAAAGGTCTTAGTAGGGGTATCGCTAACTGTCTTTAATGATGAGCTCAGACTGTTGACCATCTGTGTTCTATCTGTTTGTTGACGAGTGAGCTTCTCCAATCTTTCCACTTCGTTTTCAGCACTTGGCCTTTCTTCACCGAATTGCTCACCATGGAGGTCAATCTTTTGGTTACGCTCCTGTTGCATATTCTCAGCCTCCTCATCATCCAACATGCCCAGGCAGTGCGCGTCAGAGACACTGCGGATGCACTTCCCCTCTGGATCAATGATGGCCTTCCGAACTGGTTCTGAGTGAAGAACACTGCTGCTAAGGTCATCAGTAATCAGGCCCATCTCCCAGGCCTCGGTAACACCGATAGTTTTCCCAGAAGTGGGGTCATAGAAGCCACCTAGCAGGTTCTGCTGCTCCATGATCTGCAAGGCCACCCGAGGTGATATTGAGCCTTGTAGCACAGCTTGTCTTAGCACTGACATTGCGATAGCGGGATTTCCTACAACATCATCTTGTTGAAGTTGTAGCACGAGTAACTCTAACACAGTCTGTTCGTCGATCAGGCCCTTATCAACAGCAGCATTAAGGTCATATCTCTTTCCAGATGTGACATCTAAAATGCCTCCTTCTTCTACTTGGGCCCTCAGAAGATGAACCGCACAGGCTCTCTCAAGCTTGTCATTCCACGTGACTTCACATTGTGGGTGTTCAGAGGTCATCTCAGCATTTTATCTACTTCGGTGGACAGTACGGAACAGTCTGCAGGCTCTTCTGCTTGGCCTGTTTTTTCTGTATGATTAAGCTGTTCTTGATTGACATCTACTTTTGAAAGCAAGGTTGTTTCAGCGGCAGATTCATAACAAACTTCTACAGAAGGTTGAACTAATGTATGGTCAGCATCTTTTATGAGGTACTTAGAGGATGCATCTAGACTTGCAGCTTCCTCAAAGGCACTCTGATTTGTTTCCATCTCAATAATCGAGGTCTTATGTGAACTGTTGTCCAGGGAAGTGTTAAGTTTTTCCCCTGAACCTGAGATGAGTTTGGCAGACCCAGTAGATTTCATACGATCTTCATTTCCACCCGTATGCTCTATAGAGGTCTCTAAATCACTCCCTTCCGGAATTCTTTCGAGGGTCTTACCAGCATCCATGTTTTCCAAATCACTGGAGTGAGTAATGTAAACCTCACTAACATCCTGAGGGATGTTCTCATCGAGAGATGAATGATGCAAATCTGGGTGTGAAATCTGGATTCCCATCGAAGGTTGAGCTAATGTGCTGATAGTATCATTTGTCTGGTAGTTAGGGAATGCGTCTGATTGTGTAGTTTCCTCAGGACCACTCTGATTCGTTTTTATGTCAGTAACTGAAGCTTTAAGTGAACAATTCTTGGCTGAATTATTAAACATTTCTCCTGGAACTGACACTACATCGTCCGGCCCAGTAATTAGAGATTTAACGCAAACTTCATTTCCAGTAGCACCCTCTATAGTCATCTCTACACCACTGTCTTCTGGGATTGTCACTAGGGGCTTCTCAATATGCATTATTTCTAAATCACTAGTGTGCGTAATGTGAACATCCTGAGGAACATTCTTGTCCAGAGATGAATCCTGTAAATCTGAATGTGAACTCTGCACTCCTGCAGAGGTCTGAGTTATGGTTTTGGCAGTGGCGCTTGTATGCTGCTTGGAGGATGCATCTAAAAGTGTAGTTTCCTCAGAGGCACTCTGAATTGCTTTAACCTCAGTAATTGAAGCCGTATGTGAACCATCATCTAAGGAATTGTTAAATATTCCTCCTGAAACTGATCCAGAAATGAAAGATTTCAGGCGATCTTCACTTGCATCAGCACCCTCTATTGAGATCTCTAAACTGCTGTCTGCTGGAATTCTCGCTAGGGGTTTATCAATATGCATGATTTCCACATCACTAGTGTGAGAAATGTGCAACTCTTTTAAGCCTTGATCGTCCAGAGATGAATCATACAAATCTGAATGTGAAATCTGATTTCCCGCAGAAGGCTGAGCAACTGTACTGTCCACATCATTGGTTTGGTAGTTAGGGAATACGTCTGAAAGTGTAGTTTCCTCAGGCCCACTCTGACTCATTTTCACCTCAGTAATTGAAGCTTTATGAGAACAATTCTCAGATAAGTTGCTAAACATTTCTCCTGAAATTGACATGGGACTGTCCGGTCCAGTAGTTAGAGGTTTTATGCAAAGTTCGCTTCCATCAGCACCCTCTTCAGTGATCTCTAAAACACTCTCTTCTGGAATTCTTGCTAGAGGCTTCTCAATATGCATGCTTTCAAAATCACTAGTGTGATTAATGTGAAGCTCATCCCCATCTTGAGCGACGTCCTCATCTAGAGATGAATTACGCGAATCGAAATATGAAATCTGTATGTCATTTGTGTTGTACTTAGTGGATGCATCTGAAACTGTAGTTTCCTCTGAGGCACTCTGATTTGCCTTAATCTCTACATGTGAGACATTTTCTGATGAACTGTTAATTATTCCTCCTGAAACTGATGCTAGCTTGTCAGATCCAGCTGTTAGAGATTCCATACTATCTTCATTTCCATCAGCACCCTCTGTAGAGGTCTCTAAACCACTCTCCTCTGGAATTCTTGCTAGAGGCTTCTCAATATTCATGACTTCCAAATCACTAGTATGAGTAATGTGAAGCTCATTCCCATCTTGAGGGATGTCCTCATCCAGAGACGAACTACACAAATCTAAATGTGAAATCTGTGTTCCTGTAGCAGGCTGAGCTAATGTAACAATAGAGCCATTTGTGTGGTACTTAGTAGTTGCATCTGAAAGTGTAGTTTCCTCTGAGGCACTCTGATTTGCTTTAGCCTCGATATGTGAGCCATTTTCTGAAGAACTGTTAAATATTTCTCCTGAAACTGATGCTAGTTTGTCAGATCCAGCTGTTAGAGATTCCATACTATCTTCATTTACATCAGCACCCTCTATAGAGGTCTCTAAACTGCTCTCTTCTGGAATTCTTGCTAGGGGCTTCCCAATATGCATGTTTGCCAAATCACTAGTATGAGTAATGCAAACCTCATTCACATCCTGAGGGATGTCCTTAGGCAGAGATGAATCATGCAAATCTGAATGTGAAATCTGCTTTCCAATAAAAGGCTTGGTGAATACACCGACAGCATCGTTCGTGTGGTTCTTAGTGGATGCATCTGGAAGTATGGTTTCTGCAGAAGCACTATGGCTCATTTTCATCTCAGCAACTAAAGACTTACGTGAGCCTTTCTCTGATGAACTGTTAAATATTTCTTCTGAAATTAATGATAACCTGTCAGATCCAGAAGTTAAAGATCTCATATAGTCTTCATTTCCATCAGCACCTTCTATGCACATCTCTGAACCACTATCTTCTGGAGTTGTAGCTAGGGGCTTCTCAATATGCATGATTTCCAATTTACTAGCATGAGTAATGTGCAACTCATTCATATCTTGAGGGATGTCCTCATCCAGAGATGAATCATGCAAATCTGACTGTGAAATTTGCATTCCAATCAAAGGCTTGGCTAATACACTGACTGCATCATTTGTGTGGTTCCTAGAGGACGCATCTGGAAGTATGGTTTCTACAGAAGCATCTACTGATGCTAGTCTGTCAGATCCAGCAGTTAAAGATCTCATACAGTCTTCATTTCCATCAGCACCTTCTATGCACATCTCTGAACAACTTTCTGGAATTCTCGCTAGGGGTTTCTCAGTATCCATGATTTCCAAATTACTAGTGTGAGCAATGTGCAACTCATTTATATCTTGAGGGATGTCCTCCTGCAGAGATGAAATATGCAAATCTGAATGTGAAGGCTGAGCTAATGGATGGACAGTGTCGGTTGTTTGGTACTTAGCGGATGCATGTGGAAGTGTAGTCTCCTCAGGGACACTGTGATGTGCTTTAGTCTCAGTAACTACAGTCATATGTGAAGCATTTGCTGAAGAACTGTTATATATTTCTCCTCTAACTGAGGTGAGCCTATCAAATCCAGTAGTTAGAGATGATATACAACCTTCATTTCCATCGGCACCGTCTACAGACATCCCTGAATCCTTTTCTTGTGGAATTCTCACTAGTGGCTTGTCAACATGCACGTTTTCCAAATCACCAGCACAGATGTTAAGCGAGGGCGAAGGGATGTCCTGATCCAGGGATGAATCTTGGAAATCTGTATGTGGAATCTGCACCCCTACAGAAGGCTGAGCTAATGTTCTAGCAGTGTCGTTTATGTGGTGCTTAGAGAACGTACCTGAAAGTGCAGCCTCCTCAGAGCCAATCTGATTCATTTTTATCTCAGTAATTGAGATCTTTTCTGAACTACTGTCTGATGAACTGTCAAATATTTCTCCCGAAACTAATGCTAGCCTGTCAGATCCAGATGTTAAAGATTTGACACGATTTTCATTTCCAACAGCACCTTCTATGCACATCTCTGAACCACTATCTTCTGGAGTCCTTGCCAGGGGCTTCTCAATATGCATGATTTCCAAATTATTAGTGTGAGTAATGTGCAACTCATTCATATCTTGAGGGTTGTCCTGATCCAGGGATGAATGATGTAAATCTGTATGTGGAATCTGCACTCCTACAGAAGGCTGAGCTAATGCTCTAGCATTGTCATTTATATGGTACTTAGAGAGCGTACCTGAAAGTGGAGCTTCCTCTGAGCCACTCTGCTTCACTTTTGTCTCAGTAATTGAGGTCTTTTCTAAACCACTGTCTGTTGAATTGTTAAATATTCCTCCTGAAACTGAGGTGGATCTGTCAGATCCGCTAGTTGGGGATTTCATACAGCCTTCATTTTCATCAGCACCTTCTGTCGAGATCTCTAAACTACTCTCTTTTGGAATTCCCACTAGGGGCTTCTCAATATGCATGATTTCCAAATCGCTAGTGTAACTAATGTGGACCTCATTCGCATCCTGAGGGAAGTTCTCATTAAAAGATGAATCATTGCGATCTGAACTTGAAATCTGTGTGCCTATAGAGGGTTGCGCTGATGCACTGAGAGAGTAATTTGTGCTGTACTTAGAGGATGCGTCTGGAAGTGCAGTTTCCTCAGGAACCCTCCGATTTGTTCTAATCTCAGTAAATGACGTGAGCCTGTCAGATCCAGTAGCTAGAGGTTTTACGCAATTTCCATCAGCACCATCTACAGAGATCTCTGAGTCATTTTCTTCTGAAATTTTGGTGAGGGGCTTCTCAATATGCCAGATTCCCAAATCTTCACTGCATGTAGCGTGAAGCTCGAGGGCATCCTCAGAAAAGTTCTCATCCACTGGTGAGTCATGCATATCCACTTGTGAAGCATCATTCATTCCAGTGTCCGACACTTCTAGCAGCACTTTAGCCATTTTATTTAACTGTCCATCAAAAATCAACAGTCTCTGACCTGATTTTGGGTCCATGTAGCTGTTCATCATCAGATAGGAGATGAACAACTGCTTGGACTCTGAGGAAGATGGGGCGCTTATGCTGCTTTCACCAGCTTCCATTCCATCACTGGTTCTTTGAGAGCCTTCAAGTTGAACCTCACGCATCACCAGCCAAGTCGAAAACCTGTCATTGAGATCGTCGACGTCAGGGAACGTGTCTGGTATCTCTAACGTTTTCAACAAATCTTTTGTGTAAGTGTCGATTAAACCGTCCCGTGCGGCGGAGTCAATATCAACCACCTCTGAGTTTTCTGGTATGTAAAGTGCTGCTATCTTATGACGGTGACACAGAAGTTCAGAAGCCAGTCTATCAGTGATGATTTCATGCTGTAAGGATGTTGAGACGGTGAGGATCTCTCCAGAGTGAGGCCACAGGAGGCCCATGAAACACTTCTGCTTCTCCAGAACTAGCAGAGCACTTCTGGAGCTCATTAAATCGCACTGGACAGCTTCATCAACTGTGAGTCTAGCTCCATTATGTGGATCCACGATGCCACCATTTTTGCTTTGGTGGCTCAGAATTCCACTGGCAGTGTCCTGATCAATAAGGCCCTCAGATAGGGCCTCTTCTACTGTGAGTTTGCGGTTTGTTTTAGGGTCTGCTATGCCTCCAGCAAACAGCTGTGCGCTCAGCAGCCTGAGCATGGTCTCTCGATCTATTAGACCCTCATGCACGGCCCTCAGGATGCTGATCTCCCTCCCAGATGTCAGAGATATCGTCCCATCTTTACCGGGCTTCACAGGCAGCAGGCGGAGACCAGTCTCCTCATGCACAATGCTCCTCTGCATGAGCTGAACAAGAGAGACTTTTTCAGCTGTGTTGGGGTCGATCAAATCCTTCCACGTATTCTGCCTTTCCAAAATCTTAATATAGAGAGAGTGAGGAATCAGGCCGAACTGAAAGGCCCGCTCTAGACTTAGGCTCTCTCCAGTGTACGTCACGCATAAGCCACCAGTGGCTAGCTGAATCTCAATGATCTTTATGGCTAGACGTTCAGAAATAGCCCCTTCATTCACTGCTGCTACCACTGGCAAGGGTTCTGATGCATAAGGTGCCTCCTGGATGGATCTATTGGCTCCATTCAAGTCCTGTAGTTGCTCATACATGGGCCCATCCACAAGGTTGTGCTTAAATGCGTCCTCCAGGTCCAGACACATGCGAAACTCAGGTAAAATGAGCTCAGAGGTTATGAGCTGGGCCTCTAGGAGACTGAGCCCCGTGCTCTGGTCAATAAGACCATTCTGCACCGAGCGACACACAGACAGGATTGCTCCACTTCCCACATTTAGAATGCCTTCAATGACTTGGAACTCCTGCAATATAAGGAAATGTGTATGATGAAAATGTCTATCCAGAAACAAACCTCACTTCCAAAAAAGTTGGGACAGACTGTGAAATGCTAAAAAGAGAAAGCAGTGATTAGCAAAGTCCATCTGATCTGTTTTGAAACTGAAAACAGCAAAAAATGATATTTGAACGTGGCTTGACGTTGTTATGCTGAAATAAGCATGGATGCCTGAAAACATTACGTTGTCTAGAACAGGGGTGAGGAACTCCAGTCCTGGAGGGCCAGATTCCTGCATAGTTTGGTGATTTTCCTGCTCAAGCACACCTGATTTATCAGCTAATTACCAGGTGTGAAATCACCAAACTATGCTGGACTCTGGCCCTCAGTTCCCCACCCCGATCTAGAGGGCCAGCACTGTTTCTCCAAAATGTGAATATACCTTTCAGCATTAAAGTGCCTTCACAAATGTGCAAGTTACTAACGAACACACCCCCATACAATGGATTGCTTTGGTTTTTACGGCCTTATTCACACATGCTACCTCTACGTGGTGTAGAGCAACGTGACAGCATGAGCGGTACAGCTCAAGCGCACTGGCCTTTCATACATACAGTGTTTGTGCTGCGGAGCGGAGCGGCGAGACAGTTATACACGTTCCTGTTTCCAGACAGATAAATGGTCACATCAGCCACTCTGCTCAATAAAAATATATAATGGTATATTTGTTTGTCCTCGGCAGCATTCTGATTTGTGATTAGGCAAAAGTTTCAAGCCTGGTAAATCTGTCTGCAGCATAGAACGTTTAACACATATTTCCTCATGAAATAAATTACATTTAAAAAATATCATTTTTAAGATATACAGTTTGATACAGTTTTCTATTTAATTTTCATTGATTTTATTGGCTTATTTCATTGCAGCGTGCAGGGAAAATATGCGGCAAGTCTATTCTCTAAATACTGTGCCGCTTCAGTGCGCCGTCTGGGACTCTGCCGCTTCACACACGCAGCCTGTGTGAAAGCGCTGACCAGTTAACGTGGACGCTTAAATGAAAAGCATGAATTTCCACATTGCTGATGCCATGCAGACGCAGTATGTGTGAACTGGGCCTAACAATCTGGATGGCCCTGTCCTTTTTTGAGAACATGACGTCCACTCTTTCTCTAGATTCCTTGAATCTTCTTATGATATTATGCACCGTACAGGGTGCATGACTGACATCACCTGTTTATGATATTTTTTGGACATTTTTTGACATTTCTAGTCTTAAATTCCCCCTTTGGAACATGTTTGAGGCATCAATTTCAGAATGAGCACATATCTACAAAAATAATGAGGCTGATATGATCAAACATTCTATATCCTATCTTTGTATAGTTTTTGTTTAAATACTGGTCCAAGTGGAATTACGAATCACTGCTTTCTGTTTCTATTTGCATTACACAAACTGTCCAAGCTCTTCTGGAATAGAGGTTTGCAACAGGTCAATAACTAAATCTGTACAATTTACAGGTCTAATTTTTCTTAAAATTATATTAAACATGTACTCACCCATTTAACAAGTCTATGGACTGTAAGAGTTCATTTTCAAGAGTGCAAGTCAGAATTTCAACAGCAAGAAGAGTGGAATTAGAAGCTGTCATGCATCTGTAAACACAACTTTCAGTATTTTGCAAAACAACAGTTGGTTAGAGACAACACACTGAGCATTACTGTAGTGTCTTGAAAACCTTTGAGGATGGAGAAAGAGCTCCTGGGGTTTGCTGTGAAGTCAGAAAGAGGCTGTGTGACGTTAAACACTCATGCTATGCAATGTTTACAGCATACTCAGTTTACCGTGTACCATAAGTATGAGTCCTCCTGATGAGGAAACCAGATTAAACCCTCTTAAATCTGCATGAACGATGCTTCCCTGTCAGGGCACTTTCAGAGATGAGTCAGAGGTTAGTGTAAATGTGGCTTTAATTTCAGTACCATGCCGAAAATGCACAGCCATGCAGTGAGAATATGTGCCTTTGTCACACATTAATAGCCAGGAACCGTTTATTTGGCTGCTACTGTTTGAGGGTATCCGTCGCACCTGTTCAGCAGAGGGCGCCTGTTCTCCAGTCTGCTGAGAGAGCTCACTGTAGGCCTGGTGGAGAGATTTCAGCTGCTCTTTCATTTCACGCTTTTCTTCTTCAGTCATCCTAACAGCAGAGAAAAACAAATTTTGATCATGATATCCCTGACCCTGTGAGTAATATTTATTAAAAAATAACAAAAAATAACATACTTGTCACTGTGTTTGGTTAGAATCAGCTGAGTGCTTCTCAGTGCTTCTGCAATTTGCTCCTTCTTTGTCAGAACTTCTTCCATTGGTACCTTCAGTGATGAAAGTAAACAGAAAATATTTTTAGCAAAAGGGCTGTGTTGTTATTTTTTGTTATTACAAATAGCCTTTTTTCACTTGGCAATGCACAAACTATACGATATACTGCAACATCATGATAACTGAAAAAATAAATGTTTGCCAACGTTATACTCAAGAAATACAGCCATACAGATTTGAATCGTCTGTATATCGCTGTTATTGGAAGAAAACCTAATACCTCCATTTTTGACGTTTTTCAGTTTTTGACATATTTTGAAAATGCCTGTTGCTCTTTACATTGTATGTAAATTTCATGATGAATGGACTAAAAGAAACAACCCAAAATGACTTGGAAAAACGTCTGGTTCCATTCACTTACATTAAAAGTGAAGTATGTTTTTTCCTTTTCCTGTAAAGTTACCATTTTGGAGAGGTTTTCTTCCGACAACTGTGATATAGAGGCCCATATTTATTGCTAATTCACGAATTGGGTAAGAAGACATGTAAAGTGTTGCACACACTACTTCATGCTCATACAAGTCATTAACTGCAAAATCTCATTTGAACTCTTTTCACTCATGGTAAAGCCACTGAGCGTTCTTTTCTCTTTTTCATAGCTGCTGGGGTAGAAGATATTTAGGTGTCACATGCATCACAACCAGCTCAACTGCTTTATTGAAGAATACAACAGCTTTCTGGCATTAGATTAACATCTGTGACATTCACCTGGGAAATAACTGCCATAACTGACTGAGCTACTGTTACTCTTTGCTATGAAAGTATACAAACTGGTAAATTAACTGTTTCTCCTCTAGGCTATTAGAGAGCATGAAAAAACTCTGTTCAATGACTTAAATATAACAAATGCACGCATAGACTAGTGTTCGAAGGTTTGGAATCACTGTTTACACAAACTATACAAACTATATCTGTGATTGTGTTAAGTTTGCCTGTGAAGGGCCTTCAGTCTGGGATCGGTCTGCCTCGCACCACAGAAACATAGGAGAGCACAGTATTCTGGGTTGCTGCATTGTAAAAATAACCCATTTTTTTGCAGTAAAATGTATAACATGATTCTAAATTGCTGCTCCTTTGCAACTTCACAGCTTTCAAATATGCTGTAAAAATGAAAATTAATACATTTCAGTGTCCAGAATGGTGAGCAAAGCTGTAGCAGATCCTGAAATTACAGAGGAAGCTGAGAATGAGAACAAATTCATTGAATTTAAAAAGTTAATAGATGATTATAGTATTTTTTTTTTTCATTTGATGACTTTGTGTTCATAGAATTCTTGAAATATCAAGTAAAACCACTTAAAAAATACTGTTGGTGAATAGTTATTACTTATTATTAGCTACTGTTATGAGTAGTAATAATGCATTACTTATTATTATTAATTAGTTCTTATTGGAGAAAAGTTATTACAGTGTATGAAATAACAAAACATGTTCATCTGGCAAGTTCAAAGTATGTGTAATGCTTCTCAAGATACACTGTAAAGTGTTCCTGCGTGTTTGAAAGTGGAACTGTCCTCTCATTGGTATTATGTGCTTTTATCATAGTTGGTGTACTGAGGGTGCAGGACAGAGCGGTAGAAATGAAAACAGAGCAGATTTTTACAGGATACAAACTGTAAACTCCTGTCATTTATTCTGCTCTGCTGCCCAAAGGCAGGAAGGTGAACAGACAAGTTTGTTTGCAGATGTTTAGGTGCCCCTGGTCAAATTACATGTTTCATTTAAATAGGTTAACACAACCTATACAGAGAACACATACTGCACATTTAATGCATATTGATGAATACTGTTAACGTGCTGAATTTCACATATTGGAAAAACACGAAACACGAAAACAAGAAATATGTGACAGCTTTCGCACAGGCTAAACTGTATTCAACTCCGCTGCACCCCAATATGTTAAATTAAGGAAACAGTAATTGTGCATTAAAATGTGCAGAAGTTTGTTCTCTGTAGAGAATATGTTCACTTATTTTCACTTAGAAAGTCAACAAAACATGTAAAATAAAATGTGCAAAGGTTACTACACATTTTATTTATCATTTTATATTTTCCAATTAAATTTAGCAAAAAATAGGAATTGTGCACTTATTTTCACCCAGAAAATCAACAAAACGTCATTCAAACTGTATTTTTAGTAGCTGTAATTGTGTGAAGTTAGCATGTGAAGGGCTTTCAGACTGGGCTCTGTCTGCCTCGCACCACAGAAACTTGGGAGACCACAGTACTTCTGGTTCATTTTTTTTCCTGCATCATTTTACATTATATCAAAATTTCAATGAATGGAACAACAGAAATGCTCCAAATGACAAATACTCCAAATTATTATTTTTGACTTACATTAAAAATAAATAATGCTTTTTCCTTCTCCTCTTACCATTTTGGAGACATGGAAAGTGACTATATGTATATCTGTATTATTCATTTGTGTGTGTGCTTGATTTGTGTGCTTGTGAAACTTTCGATAGACACATTTCTTGTCCATCTGAAGAGGAACAGAGTTTATAACACTCTCTACATGGAAAAGTTTAATACAGAATGCAGAAATACACTCGATAACAAAATCTGAGAGCAATGCATTAAAATATACACAATACAATTCTTTATTCCAAACATTGTACATACATCATTTGAAGTATTGTTAACACTTTGAACTCTGTGCTCTGACTGCTTGTTTGAAGTCAGCCCCGCCATCTCTCGAGGACCTGCAAATTCTTGAAAATGAAATTAGTAGAATGAAAAATCATTGAGCAAAACAGAATCATTTACCTGCTGCTTATTACTGCTCTCTGTGCTGGCTTTATCATCAGCTAAAGCCTTTCCATCTTTGTTCTGGCTCGTTTTCATATCGGACATCCAGTTCAATAACTTGTTAACTTTACTGGCGTGCTCTTTCTTCTCCTCCTCAACAGATTTCTGAATTTCACAAATAAAGAAAATATTGTGGGGTGAATTACAAAAACAAACCAACTGCCACGGTGTTTAGATTTGTGAGTATGTGTACCTCCACGCCATTTCGCTTAATATCTTGAGAAGTACGATGTAACGGGATCGTGAGTTTTAATCAAGCGAGTTTTTGTAGAGGGCATTCGATAAACCAGAGAAAATGTAAAACACGGATCACATAGATTAAAGACATTCATACACATGTACATACATGTTTACGGGGAACTACATTCCCAATAAGCAGAGGCACATATATGATTATAAAAATATTTTGATACTTAAAAAAAAGTTATTTAATTGACTAAACAAGTTCCTGTTAGGGAAGCACAGTGTATCGATCTGGGCAGATAATTGCTTTAAAAAATGTATTAGCATCGGACAGATATTTAGATTTGGCTGATGTTTCTGAAAAGATCTGTTTTATTCTTTTTACTGCATTTGTAACCCTACATAACAATATACATAAATAAATGCAGCATTTGTAATGCAAATCCAGCTGAATCTAGTGCCAATTTCACCAGTTTATAAATGTGTATCAGTTCCTATATTGGTGCCTCGCTAATTCCTGTCAGATAATAAAGGAATAGCTTGACCAAATATGCTAATGTGACAGAGAATGAATGGAAGCTAGTGGCCATGCATTTGCATGGTGCCATTGCTTAGTACTATTTAGTGACTATTGACATTCAGTAGCAATACTGAATGATGTTCAATAGCATTCAATAGAATTTTGGTTAAACTATTCCTTTTGGTTAAACCATTCCCCCCACATTTTAGCTGACATGTAAATACCACATCAGAAATGACGATAGGTCCAAATGTATTGGAAAGATGAATTAGCCCCAGTGCTATGAGGCTTTGTAGCATCAAGCAACAGGAGTCCAGTATGACTATCAAAGACACCTTTATCCAGAGCCTCTTTGTAGGATATTTTTCGCTTTGTCTTCGGACAGGTGATAGTTTTGGGAAGCGAGTGGTCATCTTTCAACTGTGCAGCTGTTGCTTTGTCAATAAGGCAGTTTCGGATAGCCTGCTGCACCGAAACTCTGTTATGGCTCTCTGGGTCTATCAGACCTCCAGTTGCAAGCTGGTACTCAAGACACCGAAGTCCGACATCTTTAGGGAACAGGTTCTCGTGCATTGCTTGAGCCACAGTCAACGTCCTTCCAGTCTGAGGGTGAATGACACCATAGTAGGCTTGCTCATACTGCTGCAGCTGTCGAGCAAAACTTTCATCTAAGAGTCCTCGGCGGAGTGCCTCTGCAATCTGGACTCTCTCCCCAGATGCCGGGTCGCAGATACCCCCGGTGCAGGCTTGAGCCTCCAGAAGCTTCAACGCGGTCAGTCTGTCCACAAGGTTTTGCTGAAGTCCTTTGAGAATAGAGAGCCTTTTCTTCAAGGCCACGACCCAGAGTCCAGCGATGGGGCTGTCCGTAACTTTGATCGCAACCTTTCGAGAAATCAGAAGATCTGCAAGCTCCCAGATGGTCATCTGACCACTATGGTAGCTGTGGAGTTCACTCGTTTGAAGGATCTTCAGGCTCAGGGCATTTTCAATGCAAAACTGCCGTCCACTCTTCTGGTCAGTCAAAATATGCAAAGTGTTCCCATCCGAGTCCACAACAGTTGTCTCCTGCCATTCACTCTCCTGTTGCGAGAGGAACAGGTAGGTTCTGATGTCTATGAGTCTGGCCTTATAGGCCTCGTACGTCGACATCTCCACACCGGTGGCACTGTTGATGACTGAAACTCTGTGGGTGCTGGCTGGGGAGAAACTGGAAATATGGTGTTCCCCAAAGGGAGAAGATAAACTCCACCACTTACATCATATACGCACATTTTCAGGAGTTCACCATAGTACGCTCTCTGTCCTGTTTCTGGATTATGGAAGCTCTTTGGGTTACTGACCGGATCAAAGAGAGTTTGAAGGGTGGCTTGATTTATGAGTCCTTGCTCAATGGCACAATCTAATGGAACCCGCATGCCAATCAACGGGTGAATCAATCCTCCGGTAGCAATCTGTGCTTCAAGTATCCCCTTCCCTCTGTGTCTTTCCACAATTCTTTCTTCCATTGCTTGGAACACAGAAAGTATTTTTCCTCCATGAGGGTAACCGCTGACTGCTTTATCAGCCTCTGTTATCTTGTCCCTCAAATCTCTTCCGATGATGCCTTTCTCAAGAGCATCTAAAGCAGTGTAGCTTTCACCGGTGACTGGATCAATGATGGCTCCTGTGGCAGCCTGAGCTTCCAAGAACTCAATAGCATAGGTCTTCGCCATTAAACCTGCCTCTGCGGCTTCCATGAAGGATATCTTTTTCTTGCTGGATTCCAGGTAAATCCCGGCAATTGAAGCAGGTTTGCCGTTGAACTGGGCTAGTGATGCTTGCACTTCCTCCAAGGTTATCAGGCCTGTTTGTAACTTCAGAGCAAGCTCCTGAGTTATTATTTTGGTTTTGATCAACTTTTTAATACTGATTCGTCCCCTGAGACCTTGAAGTTTTGTTGAGGATGATTCACTTTGTTTATCCATCTGTGAAGAATCTGTAGCATCACTGGAAGACTCAGCGCTGATGACACTAAATGATACAGACTGGCTTTTCCCAGACTTGCCTTTGTCTGACAGTGAGCTTTTCCTAGTTGTGGATGTTTGCTCAGACACGCTACTACGGGTGGTAGTGGACACCGTTTGCTTTGGCTGATTTTCCTGTATTAATGACTTTTCTGTCATTCTCAGGGCTTCTTCCTGAGATCTATGAGTCACTGTTACCATTTTATCCCGTTTGACTTTTTTCAACTCCTCCAGAACTTTATCTTTCTCCAAAGTAGCAATCTGTAAATGTGAGATGGACAGACAAAATTAGGTACTGAATATTTCTGCAAATAAGCTATAAAAATGAAGGCAGTATGGGTTTAACTTGTTTAGAGTATTTAGAATATACTTAACTAAATAGCCATGGGCAAAAGTTTGGGAGCCCCTGCATGTCGAACTACACGTTTTGTTCATTTGCTAAGTGAAAAGTACACATCCTTTATAGAGAACACATGTGGCCTGGCACATTTCATATTTTATATTTACTTTTTTTTCATATAGCTTAAACTTAGCAAAAAAAACACAAAATTGTGCACTAAAATTGGCCAAAAATGCCAAAGTTGTACTCTGTAGAGGATGTGTTCACTTATTTTCACTTATCAAAACATGCGTTTAAACTTTTTGAATATGGTTATTATTATGACGTTTTTCAGTGCAATGAAAAGTAATTCTGGTGCCACTTTACAGTAAGACTAATAAGAGATCATGAGTGGCTTAAAATCAGCTTATTTACGGTTATTAATTAGGTCATGAACACCTTAAGCATCATTAATAAGCATACAGAAAACATCTGATGATCTGACTACATCTGATGAATATGAATGTCTGGTGATGCCGACAGCTGTAATACTGATACTAATGTTGCTGGTGCCCTTTTATGTATATGTTAGAACTACGTATCAATGATTTTTGAGGTATTTATCACCTAATTAATAACCATTAATCAAATGTTTATAATGGGATATTGTAACGTAATCTGAAAGGTCCAAGAACTACAATGGCTCCCCAAAACAACTGATCTACAAAAATATATTGTAGTAACAAGTAAACACTTGTGTACCTCAGAAGTCTCTTTCATTTTCTTAAGCTCCTCCTCCAGATTCCGCTTTGCCTCTTCATATGAAGACACTATTTTCTGTGTCAGTATCAACTCAGTCTTCAGCTTTGCAAGCTCCCCATCTTTGGCACACTGATGACTGACTTGATTTACAACCTCCATCTCTTTCACCTGCTTGTTTAAGGAGCTGACAGTGACTTCAAGCTTTAAATTCTTCTCTTGTAAAGACTTCACTTCTTTGATGTATGAAGCAACCTGCTCTTTCAGAGTTTTAGCTTCATTCTCAGTGAACTCTAATTTCCGTTCCGCTTCTGTCAGCATCTGTTTCAGCCTTATTGTTTCTTTTGAGCTCTCTTTACGGACACTGTCCATTTGGGATATACTGGATTTCACTTTGATCTTCTCCGTCTCCAGTTCTGCAATCTTAGACTTTGCTTTGAGCAGTTCAAGGTCCAGAACTCCTTTCTGTTTCTCCGATTGCTCCAACTGAGCTCGCAGGCTGTCAAGCTGCTGCTGAGCATCTTGTTTGGATTTCATGGTGTTGAAATGCAAAGTTTTCAGCTTCTCAACTTCATGCGAGAGCTGCTTGTTGTCTCGCTCGATTGTTTCAGCGCTATGCGAGCGCTCCTTTGACTTCCTGTCGTAGTCTAGCTTCATGCGCGATTCCTGCAATGCCAGCTTCTGTTCCATCTCATTCTGCACCAGCTGTAACTGAGTCTCATAGCCCTTCTTCTGCAGTTCAAGCTTCCCTTTCAGGTCCTCGAGCATTCTCTTGCAGTTCTCCAACTGGTCCTCTAACATCTGCGATCTCAATTTAGCAGCTGTGGTTTCCTTCTGCTTCTGCAACACCTCTTCTTGGGTTTGCTCCAATTTCATTTTCAGCTGCGAAGTCTCGGACGCCAAAGTGGTGACTTTTTCTTCCGCGGCGCCCTTTTGTTTAAGAAGGTTGGAGCACTCCTGCTGCAGGTTTGTCGTGTATTTATCAGAGTTCGAACTAATCTCCTTGATGGTGAACCTATTCTTCTGTAGTTCTGCCTCCACGTCTTTGAGCTTGGACTGACTCATTTTCCATTCCTGAGTCACTCTCTGCAACTCGTCTTTTCGTCTTCTTGAGAGTGGAATTCAGCTCGTCGAATTCAGTCTTCAGACCTTGTAACTTCTGGTCAGCAGCTTGCTTGTCCCTCTGAAGAGTAGAGATGTCCTGCTTAAGGTTGACTGTGGCCTTCTCAGAGCTTCCGCTCACTCTGCTTATGGTCTGTTTGCATCGTAAAAGCTCGTTCTCCAGCTCCCTCAGCTTCGCCACGTTCTTCTTGCCCTCTGTTGACTCCTTTTGTAGAGCCATGTTCAGGTTATTCATCTCCATTTTATGCTCCTGAACCTTCTGATTGGCTAGATTCTTCTCCATAGATATGGAAGTAAGCTCTGCTTTTAAATTTCGGATCTCTTTTTCGTAGTTGGTAACATTCGCTGTGAGAGATTTAACCTTCTGCTGGAGCTCAGAGGTTTTTTTCGTCTCCTCGTTGTAGTCCCGCAGTTTGATTTGAAGCTCGTGGGCCGTCTGGGTTTTCTTAATTAGCTCCTCTTCGACTATTTTCAGCTGAGATTTCGTGCTCTCCACTTGTGACTTGAATATGCTGATTTGCTGATCTTTGCTGCCGACGTCCATGTTAACTTTATCAAGCTCAGCTCTCAGGCTCTTCACGGAGCGTTCACTGTCCATGTTGACTCTTCTCAGTTCTTCTACCTTCTTTGTAAGCTGGGTAACCTGCAAATCACTCTTCTGGAGTTCTAACTCAAGGTTCTTGATCTTCAGCTGCATGTCCTTTTCACTTCTTGCCTTAATGCTCATGTCGTCTTTGGCTTTCTGCAGCTGATCTTTCAAGTTTTCCAGCTCGTTTTTCAGTGTTTTTATCTTTTGCTCGGAAAGTGATTTTTCTTGCTGGAAGGACTCGATACTTACCGTAAGATGCCTGATATCGCCTTCCAACAGCTGATTTATCCTGGTTAGCTCAGTTACCTTAAATTTCACCTGTTCTGCTTCAGCCTGCTTGGAGGAAAGCTCTTCCTCCAGACATCTCAACCTCTGACAACTCTCCTGCTCGCTGGTGCTCCGTTGGAGAAGCTTCCCTTGATTGATCTTAAGCTGTTCCTTTAAGCCGTCGACCTCCGTTTTATGAAAAAGCACCCTCTGCTCTAGTGACGACTTGTCTCGCTGGAGGGATTTGACTTGTTCTTGAAATATATAGACAGATTTCCTAAGTTCAGAGGCTTCCTGCCTCAGGTCTTCAGATTTCTGCCTGTTGCTGTTCCTGTCCGACTCCATTTCCACCTGAAGCTTCATCAGCCTGTTATTTGCATCGTCCAGGAGCTCTTTGAAGCGCTGTGCTTTCTCTTCTGCCATATTCTTGTGCATAAGCACAGAGTTCAGCTCAGACTTCAAAGTCTTGATCTCCGTTTCTGCTCTCTTTTTGCCCATCATCAGCTCGTCCATCTTGTACTGCAGGGCTTCTGCTTCCGCTTCCGAATGGAGAAGCTGAACGCTGCTTGAGATGCTAGATTTCTGCATACCATCCCTAATCAGTGTCACCCGTGACTCGCCCTGGAGCCCTCTAGCTTCAGACTGCTGAGTGAGATCCATTTCCATGGTCCTAACCTGGTTCAGGAGTTCTACCTCAGCGTCTTCCTTGGCTTTCAACTCCCGTTCCAACGTACGCCTGTGCTCCTCCAGATCCTGTACGTCGCTGTTCTTGCGGCGCAAGTGCTCCTCCAGCTTCCTGCGGGCCAGCGTGCTCTCCTCTATGTTCTTCTTTAGCATGCGGAGGCTCTCCTCCATGGAAACCTGTTTGGCCTCTGACTGCTGAATCAACTGTCGGCAATGGTTTAGCTCTTGCTCAATGGCAGTTTTGCATTTAATAGCACCTTCCAGCTCAAGTCGGTATTGCTGTGCTTCATACTCTGCCTTTGATTTCTGCACATTCAACTCCTCGACTGACTTTTTCTGCATGTCCAGCTCTCCTCCCAGAATGTCCAGTTGCTGTTGCCTGTCGGATAAAGAAGCCTCCAGTTCCAGTACCTGCCGTCGCAGCCTGGAGATCTCCTCTTCACCTGCTGATTTCTGTAGCTCCATACTCTCCATCCAGCTCCTATATTCAGCCCTTTCCATAGATGACCTCCTCTGAAATTAAAGGTAAAATTATCCTCCAAACGCTGGCTAGGGAAAGAAAATTGAGATCAAGCTCTTGCACACTTACCAAACCAAGCGTGAAAGTGCCCCTCCACCTCCTAGAGAAAGGCTTTTGAGTTCTAATTTGAAACACCATCACCTTCAACAATACAAAATACTGCATATTTTGTATTCTAAGCTTAAGTTAGTATAAAGGGAAGATTAAGAAAACAGCATATTTTGTTTACCTTGTTGTGCATTATTGCCCGTGAAGAAATAATGCACGTAGTTTCACGTTTGAAGTAATGAAAAGTGGATTTTCCCAAAACTCCCATTGTAATAAAAGAGTGAAGCATGGCTGGAAGTATACTATACCCAAATAACATGCACAAAAAAGCAAATAAGTGACCGACAGCAGTTGTTCAGGGATGGAAAGTGTCAGATAAACAGATGTGCATTGGAAGAGACCCAGAGAAAAGTCATTAAACACATTCACAAAGAGATTCCATATGCAGGACAATGAAACCATTACAGCTGTAATAGTACAAGTCTTCCAATAATGATAATGAAATAATTCAGTATAAAGCCACAATCAGGAATCGTAAAGCAATAATTTCTTGGCACAGAAATTTTATAAATATTGCTGCAACAGGCTTGAGAAGAACGTTTCCCTCTTCACATTTACAGATCAAGACCGAAAGGCAATGGAAAAAATGTACAAACAACAGAATCAAAATGTCTCAACAAAGTGATATAGGAAGCCATACAATTTGGTCTATAAACACCATAATGAATGTGAACGGGACTATACAATAAAACTGACAGAAAAATGGTTTTCAAATCACTGATTGTGCTTTTAAATCATAAAACAAATTTTTAAAAAGTGTGAAAAAGTTCTAACAACAAAAAGGCTACTGCACACGTCCTACCTCATCTTCTTCTGCCCTCTTCAGTGTTTCGCTTGCAAACTTCACGTACTGAGTCATGAGAGTGACCAGTGCTGTATAACGAGTGCGCAGGTCCATAAACTGAAGAGAAAAAGAAGGACAATTCATAAGCTGTCTGAAATCAAACACCTACATCTATTACAAGCTTTGTATTTTATTTCATGAGCTGCTATTATTTTCTAGTTATTTTTCATGTCCTTATGTCCTCACCTCCTGTTGGATGGCATCTGATGAGCTCTGCATCCTCCTCCTCTTCACAGGGGATTTGTGCTGAGAGTCCACCATGGCCCTGTAGGTCATCAGCTGCAGCTCATAGTCCTGAAAGCAAAAGAGAATGTAATATGCCATCTCTTAACACCCTACACTCACAGTGTCTTAACAGATTTATTCTGAAAGATAAGCCGCACTGACCTTTACTCCGGCTGAATACTGCTCCGAGTACTTCTGGCATTCGTCAATCTTACTCTGCTTACGTTCAATTTCTGCAACAAGTACCTGAAACGACACATACTTTTCATGAAGTGACTGAAAGGACAAAACATATAGAACAGGTGGCACCACTTTACAATAAGACAGCCTTTATAAAGGGTTTATGATTGGTTTACAATTTGTTTATTAGATCATAACACTTTAAAAATCATTAAAAAGTAGTTTATAACACTTAAAATGGAAACAGTGAGCGGTTATGCTTGATGAGCATGAATATCTGATGAAGGTGACAGGTTTAATGCTGACTGATGGAGAAGACAAAGTAAGATAATGTTGCTTTAAACTTGTACCTCCGAAATGGTAACTTTGCAGGAGAAGGAAAACTCTTTCTTAACTAGTACTGGAAGTTAATGGAAAGATCTTTTTCCAAGTACTTTGAAGCCTTTATGTCAGTCCACTCATCATGAAATTTTAACAGAACGCAGAGAGTAACTGAAGTTTTCAAATTATGCAAAAAAAAAGAAAAAAAACAACAAAAATGGAAACACAAGATTTTTGTGCAACAGCAATGATAAAAAAAAGTTTTTTATTTATGTGTTATAAGCAGAGGTAAGAACAAGTCACCAAGCTGCAAGTAACAAGTAAGTCTCAAGTCTTGACACTCAAGTCCCAAGTCAAGTCCTAAGTCGAGATAGTCGAGTCCCGAGTCAGTACAGACGAGTCCCACGTCAATGGTCCTAATCTTAGAGTCCTAAACAAGTCATTATGCATTTTTCAGCTAATTTAAGGCCATAACACTGAATAAAGGTAACAGTAATACAGCCTTTTAACGGCAGCATGTTAGTGGTGTATGGTTGGTCAAGGGTTAGAAAACCGTTAAAAAATACTCAAAGAATCCTTTGCATGGTTAAAGTGCTCTTTGCATCATGCAAGGGTTCGTAAGAATGTGCTGTAGTGGGTTCTAATAACCCTTTTTGAAAAGGGTTCTATATAGCACCCAAAGGGTTCTTCTATTTTCACGATGTCAAATTTTTCCGAGGCTTAATGTTGAAGTCTGAGTCAAAGTCCGAGTCATTTTTGTTCAAGTCAAAGTCGAGTCACAAGTCTTTCACGATTTTCTCAAGTAGAGTCTCAAGTCATCAAATTTATGACTCGAGTCCGACTCGAGTCCAAGTCATATGACTCAATCCCTATTGGGGATTTGGAGACCTCTCTGGTGGAAATGTGTAATTACATGCAACATGTGAAAGTGCGCATTGAAAAACTGCTATTGTCTTTATATCTTCGTCAGTATAACGTTGATTTTGCATTTGAGACCTAAATATCGAGTCAGATCAATTTTAACAAAAAATCTTACATAGTGCAGCTTTAATAAACTAATTATAAACCATGCATAAACTCTTTATAAGGGTGGTCTTACTGTAAAGTGGTACTGAAAAGGCTCTGAGACAGAGGAAATCTTACTTTCTGTTGGTTTAGTAACTCAGCCAAAGCTTTGCTGTCCTCAGGCTGGTTCTCCTGAGTCTTCAGCTGGTTGGCCTCCATCTCTTTGCTCCACTCGTCAAGGCTGCTGTATGTGTCCTTGTAGTACTTCAGAGACTTGCTGATACCTTCCAGATCCCTAAGTCTAAAAGAGAAAAGAATAATGTTGAAACTGCGTTTCTCAGTAAACAAGGAAAACAGTGTGAGAGGGTTCATTATTTTAGGATCCAAATATTTCCTTCAGATAAATTAGGCAGAAGTATTACTGCAAATATCTACTTGTTTTGACTGTATCAAATGCCTGACCGACCTGTTTTCAATCTGAGAGTGGACGTTACGCCATCTCTCTCCAAGCTGCTCGGCTTTCTCCTTGTGCCAGTCAAGGTCAAAGTCCCTCTCGTTGTGCGTCTTGAACATACGGTCACTGATGACTCTGGCTTTCTGCAGCTCGTCCTCCAGGTCGTGGAATACCTCTCGCCTGTCGTCTATCTCAGATCTCCATTGCTGCAAATGAAACATGCATTACTGGTGTTGGAAAAAATAGTGCAGGCAAAGAAATATACTGTTGGAAATATTTAACACTACTATTACTAATAATAATAAACTTCAGCTATAGAGCACTTTTCATACAGGCATCAGCTCAAAGTGCTTTACAGACAAGTGATAAAGTTCAGTCATAAAGGAAAATAAAGGTGTGTGATTTTCTTCCATTCCCTGCTGCTGTTCAGTAATAACAATAAAATAAATGAATAACGTTAATAGTATTAATTAAAATACACAATAACACATTCATTTAAAAAGATGCATATAAAAAGAAAGGCACATTTGTGAAGTGAAGACATGTTAACACATCTTCTACTGGGAATAAAAACTTGAATATTTTAAACTAAAACATATAAAATAACACAGGACTCTTTATATGTTTTATTTTTTTTTCCAATATGTTAAATCCGTATTGGAAATTAAATTATTTATTAAACTGCAGTTCAAATAAACAGTAATCGTGTATTAAAATGTGTAGAAGTGTGTTCTCTGTAGAGGATGTGTTCACTTACTTTCATTTAGAAAACGAATAAAACATGAAATATGGCCCAAACTTCTGCAAATTCTATACAAATGTATACATATTTAATTAAAAACTACAAAACATATGTTTTCAAAAGTCTTAAAAGTGAACACTGAGCTTGAATAGCAGAAAGAGTCTCTCCATATTTTCTTTAGATAGATAGATAGATAGATAGATAGACAGATCACTTTATTAATCCCAGAGGGAAGGTCGTCAATCACAGCAGCACAAAGTAAAGAGCAAAACAAGAGTAAAAGTATTACTGTGCACTATTATACAGAAGCATAGATAGAAGAATAAAAAAATAATAAAATTTACTAAAACGACCATAAAATATAATGTACAGTATAAAAATAATTAAACTAAATCACATAAATATTATGCAGGTGACAATGCAGTGGTGCATGTCACATCCAGTGAATGAACAGAGTGACTAAACGCTGTAAACGATAACATGTTAATAGTTGTGCAATATTTATGGCCATATAAACAAAGTGGCAGTGCAATAAGCAACAGGTATGGATGTATAAACAATTTTTATTTATTTTTTTTTACCCGATTATCTCCCCAATTTAGTCGTCGCCAGTTCCACCCGCTAGTCAGGACTCCCCCAATCACACGATACCATCAAAGCTAGGAGGGTGAAGGCTAACACAGGCTTCCTCCGAGACCTGTGAAGAGCCACCGCATCTTTTCGAACTGCCGCTCACGCAACGTCACTGGACAGCCGAACGCGCTCGGAGGAAAGCGCCAACCGCCAGATCTGTTACGTCAGCTAACAGACGCCTGCGCTGACTAGCATCGCGCTGAGTGATAGGGGGGGAGAAGGAGGGGCCATCCTACCCACCCAGAGAGAGCGAGGCCAATTGTGCTCTCTTGCACTCCCGGCTACAGACGGCTGTAGCATCACCAGGGATCGAACTCGCGATCTCCTGATGATAGGGCCAACACTTAGACGGTTGCGCCACTCGGGAGCCCTAAAAATTTATTTTATAGGTGTCCGTTGAAGGCCAGTATATCTAAGATCACATAAACAGACAGACATTCTGTGAGATATGCAGGTGCTTTAAGGCCGTGTAGAGCTTTAAAAACTAGTAAAAGAACTTAAAACGTCTCTTAAAGATACAGATGAGCTGTGCACCTTCTCTAAAACGGAGGTACCTGTCAGTACTTTACCTTGAGAGTGCTCATAACTGCATCGATAGACTTGATGTCAGCGTTGACCGCGTCTTCTTCACACAGCTTGGCCTCGTAGAGTTTGACCAGAGCTTCGGCACTCTGGCTGTGTTTCACCACCAAGCTCACTGCCTTCAACCTGAGAGCGACATCAGCACATTTAAGTGTTTGCACTGGTTTATGTCAGTTGTCATGAAGTGCCTATGTAGGTGTTAAGCAGTGTTCACTTGGAACTGGTTTTATTACTGACCCTTTCAAATAATATCAGTCAATATTATCAGTTTTAGGAATTAATTGTAGCTCATTAAAATCAGCATAAGTGACATTTTCATATCAGTCAGGCCCTCAGCGTAGCAGACTGCTGCTTCTCCTTCAGGAAGCCAGTGAGCAGATGAAGCACTCACTTCTCCAGGTAGATGGAGCACATGGAGTAGACCTGAGCCATGCTCTGAGTGAGGACGCTGAGCTCAGAGGAGAGCGTGGGGACGGAAGGAGAGTTGGCAGCCTGCCTCAAGAACACCTCACACTTCTCCTTCAGCACCTCCAGGTCCTCCTTCAGCCGATCTAACTCTGCCTTCTTCCTCTGCGGGCGTGGAGGAGAGCAGGTAGGAGTCAGTGCTCAGTGGTAAAGCATGTAGGAAAGTTGCTGCACGATTGCAAAAGGAAAGTCTGCATGGTGGAGGACAAATGCTGCCCACTGAGAGGCCGTTACCTCCTGCTCGTTGATGCGCTGAATGCTGGCCTGCAGGTCGTCTCGGGCCAGGGGGGTGCGGATCTGCCGGATCAGCTGCTCCTCATGAGCCTCCACGCGCATGCGGAAGTTACGCACCTCTGATATGAAGAGGTTGTACACCGATTCCTCGTGTTCCTCTGTTGACCACAAGAGGGCATCAAAGTCAAACACTAAGCACATCTCCAAGTTGAGCGCACCACCAAAATGACAGATAACATCAAAAAATACAAATACTTGTGAAAAAACCCCAAGACTGTGCTTTTATAATTACGTTTACTAACAGTTTTTGAACACAGCTGCTTTAAAAATATAGCTGCCAATATAGTTTTCCTAATTTTAATATTTTCTTTTTAGTGACAATGTCAAGTAACAATGTTTGAAGACATCTAGCTTTTCAAAGGTCTTTTCCTATCTCCTATCCTGCATTTCTCTTATTAATTATGTTTTGTCGTTTACCCTTCATGTCCACTTCTGATATTTTTGTGTGTTTACACTCCAAAACAGTCATAAATCCTTTTTCCATGACCATTTTCCAACCTCTCCTTATCCCTTAATTAAACAGGCTGTTTCGGTCACTGTGCTTACACCTCCAGTGTAAACAGGCGGGCCTAAACTGCTGTAGGCTGAATATTAAGTTGATTTTTGTGACATCACAAAAACAATGAATACAAAACAGACTCCGTTCCAAATATGGACGGCATGGACGGGGTAGTGAACGGTATGTTTTGAAACTTTGACGGTGTTGATGCTACATCAAACTCATCAAATTCATTTAAAAAAGCAAGGAAAATTCAGTTTTCCATGATTTGGGCCCTTTAATGAATGTTCACCCTGTCTTTGTTGGGTGCAATAACAAAATAATTTAAAAGCTGTTTATTTTTTTGCCATTTTCTTTGGAAAAACTGCAAAACTGAAGGAAGGCCTGACAAAAGCCCTATTTTGGGACCACTTTTTGGTCAAAATAAAAGGAGGTTTTTGAACTTTGGGCCAAAAAAAATTCGATACATGGTTTTAAAAGTTGTTTGGACATTTAAACCAACACCAAATCACTGTTTAGGCGAAATGCATGAAGCTGAGTATAGCAAAATGCATTAGTAAGGACCTGTTATGTGTGCCCACAGCAAGAAGGGCCTGGGTTCGATTCCCCGGCCGGGCGACCAGAATCCTTTCTGTGTGAGTTTGCATGTTCTCCCTGTGTCTGTGTGGGTTTCCTCCCACAGTCCAAAGACATGCAGTCAGGCCAACTGGAGATACTAAATTGTCCCTAGGTGTGAATGTGTGTGTCTCTGTGTCTGCCCTGTGACAGACTGGCGACCTGTCCAGCAACCGCTGGGATAGATTCCAGCACCCCCCACAACCCAGGAGGATAAACAGCTTAGATGACGAGTGTTTTGTGTTAAAACCTTTGCAGTTACAGTGAAAATTAAAGACTAAAATTTTCAAAATAAGGCAAAAGAAGAGTCCCTGAACTTTTGCTGGGCAGTGTACATAGCTGTGTTGATATGTTCGCTTCACATATCAACACACTGACCCCACTGTGGACAGCACAGGTCAGGTCTGGATCAGGAATAATTCCAAAAGGTATTAACTTTGTAACTAAGCAGCTTAAGGGGGAATGTGTTTAGCCAGCAGCACTGGGTTAATGTGAGGAAAGAGAAACAGTGGCTGGGTGATCTTGCCTCTCTCTGCAGACTTCAGCAGCTCCTCATAGTACTCTTTCGAGGCCAGCACCTCCCTCTCCAGCTGAGCACAGTCTGCCACGGTGAACACCTCCGATTCCTCACTGTCCTCCAGAAACTCCTCAAAGTGGGACTGCAGGCTGCTCAGGACCTGCTGGTGCTCGCCTGGTAACATGGTCTTAATCTGAGGAGAAACAGTTAACGCAGTCAGCGAACGCCCTGCCCTGCTCATTTTAGCTATGGCACTGAGCACAAAGAGGGGTTATTGGAGAAAATGTGTCCCGACAGGCCACGATTAGCTTTCATAAACTGCAGGAATGGTACTGTCGGTTAATTGTGCCTTGCAGTGATTAAGTTAGATGAGAGCTGAGTGCTTGTGATCTACCCAGCCCTGCGGAACGTTCTGCTAATGCTTGCAATCTTCCCAGCCCTTCAGCCTCTTCATTTTCTCTGGCTAATTTTCATGTATAGTCATATGCATGTTGGGATGTTTGGAGTTTGATTTTCTAAGTGAAAATAACTTAAAAATACTCTACTCTGCTAATGTCTGCCCTGCGATGGACTGGCGACCTGTCCAGGGTGTAGCCTGCCTTCCGCCCAATGACAGCTGGGATAGGCTCCAGCACCCCACCGCGACCCAGTAGGATAAGCGGTTTAGATGATGTATGTATGTATGTACTCTGCTAATTTTAGTGCAAAATTTGTTTAACATACTGGAAAAAAAAAACATGAAATGTAATATTTTCCCCCAAAGCTGCACTATGTGAGATTTTTTGTTAAAATTAAAAGAGGTTACCTAACTGAGGGAAAAATAGGCTAAAACATATTGATCACGTGCTGCTGTGAGTCTCCCGGTGAAGCCTGAAATAATCATTTAAAAGTCAGAGGCACCGGAGTTCTTCGGGCCACATCATACGTCTTTACATATCATCGCTGTCCAATAAAAACCATGTATCTCCATTTTTGTTGATTTTTAGTTTTCCACATTGTTTCAACACACCAGCCGTCCTTTGCATTGTGTAAAAATTTCATGATGAATGGACCAAAAGAGATGCTCTAAAATCACTTGGAACAAAATCTCTTTACACTGACTTACATTGAAAGGTAAGAGTGTTTTTGTCTCTGTAAAGTTAATATTTTGGAGATACTTGTTTTTCATTGGACAGCGACAAAACTAACATCACATGCAGAGGCTTAAAAAGGCTCAATATTTAGGTCTCAAATGCAAAATCAACACTATACTTATTAAGATATGATAATAATAGATTCCTCAAGTTCTGACTGAGCTTTGACTCCCAGTGTGCTCACCATCATCAGATGCATCTGCTTGAGGAAGGGAGCCGAAACACAACCCAAGTTACAAAATGCTCTTCCTCAGGTTGCATGCAATTACACATTTCCACCAGAGAGGTCTCCAAATCCTCCAAATATACATAGTGCAGCTTTAAATTCAGCATATAAACAGTATCTGAACACTCAAAAAACACCTAATATGACCAGGGCATCCAAACCTTTGCATGTGACTGTAGGTACAAATATAAAACACATACAGAGGCAACGGTGCTTTTGCGGATGGTGCGGATGTCCATCATCAGGTAGTGCCAGGACACCACGCTCTTCATGTTGATATGGGAGCGGTGCCACAGAGCCAGGACGTTCTGATACAGCTGCTCAATCCTACAAAAGAGAAAATGCACGCTATGAGAACCGGGCACTCATTCACACACTCAAAAAGACTTCCCATCAGTCATTATACACTGCAATATTGTGTTACCTTCAAAAGCAGTGTAAAGCGATACTGCGGTTTGAAGGGAGTGGTTCGGGTAAACTGAATAACTGTATTGATTTTTTGGGAGGATGAAAAGAGTGAGAGAGAATGGCAAATGTGTCGTGCCCACCTGCTGGCCATGTCGACCGCCTCCTTGTTGGGCGGGGGCACACTGAAGCAGACAGAAGGCACCATGGCCTCGTTCCCTGAGGGACTGATCACCTTCCACTTAGCTCTGTGAGAGTTACTGGCCAGCACGCACTCATCGTCTTTGTAGATGGTGATCTATGAAGACAAAGAGAAAGAGAGAAGTCAGCTTCATTCTCCTGCTGCATTACTCTAGCTAATTATTATCAATTAATTAACAGCTACTCAAAAATTTTCAACAAAAAAAATCCATGAGTTGAAAGTTAAAATTAATCTTGAAGAACAGTATTAATTTGTTGGTAATTTGCATTATATACATTTTTGCCTCACAGTGTTTATAAAGTTTATATATATAGAATTTGCAACTGTCTTACTGTGCAGATGTCTTAGCATCCAAGCTATTTTTCTTGGCAGCAAGTGAGTTTTTGCCAGTAAAAACAATGCATCATTAAAATTAAAATAAATACATATTTATTAGCTTTAAATTAAATGCAAATTAAAAATAAAAACAGCAGAAAGCCGTAAGGATCTCTTATTTTGAAAAAAACGTCATTGATATCTTTTGAGCTATTTTAAGAACAAAGTTTGGTTCCAGATTTCTCCTGGATCCCTCCAGCTCCATCACACCTGATGTAACATAATGAAGTATAATGAAGCTGATTGATTATAGGTTTTGAAATGGTTAAAAAATCACACTGAACAAATCACTGCTTATGGTGTTTATTCCAATATTAGTTTTTCTGAGAAAGTAAACTCTCACTGCCCAGATAAACAGCAGTTTAAATCTAATTTGGTGCCTACAACTTTCACACCGTACTGTAGATTTATACAGCTTATAAAATGTATTAATATTTTGGACTATCTAAGAAACTATACATGGCTTGGTGGGTCCTTTTTACTGTTTGAGAAAATACTTACTAAAATGATATTATTATCAGCTACAGCCCTATTATTAACTACAAGCATTCTAGCACTACACTAACAAACTCCTTTCCCAAAACTGAGCTGATCACTATTATTTTCCACAGCTGTTTGCTTTCACCCTGCGATGGATGGCGACCTGTCCAGGGTGTATCCTGCCTTCCGCCCAATGACAGCTGGGATAGGCTCCGGCACCCCACTACAACCCGGAAGGATAAGCGGTTTAAATGATGTGTGTGTGTGTGTGTGTGTGTGTGTGTGTGTGTGTGTGCGTGTGTTTGCTTTCAAAACTGTATGTTTACATTGCAACAAGCTGAATTTGAACTGGGGGTGTTTTCATTTGGTGGATCGAGGAAAATAAATTTAAAAGAAAAAAGAAAATGTATTTACCTTTAGAGGGCGGCAGTGAGTAATGTGTGTTTATTTCATATTAATAATGCCTCAGTATCTCTATAACTCTGTATGAACAGGTAGGCTTTCGTACTTCAATAACAAAAAGAAATTAACTGCAGTTTTTATACGGCTTAATGATCGGCTGAGAAGTTCTAATTGTGACAGGTTTACCTCTATTTGTCGGTAGTCACAGATGGCTTTGACAGGGATGGAGGTTCGGACGGGGTTCTCTGGGTTGCGGGGCTTGAGCTGAACGACGGACTTTGCTCGTCCCACCAATCCAGCGACAGTGCTGCGGTACTGAAGAAGCTGCTCTTTTTCATCCTGCAGTGACCACACATGACCAGTTAGACCAATTATCAGGAAAGCCACTTATGATGTATAACGCACTGGACGTTTTTGCACGATTCCTAACCATAGACTCCTGAATGAGGTCCTCCAGCCTGTGTAATCCGCTGGTGCGGTCACAGCTGTACTTTCTGCTAATGGAATCTTGAAGGCTCTTAAGGTAGTCCATGGACTCTTTGGCGTCATTGAAAAACTGTCAGGAGGGGAAAAAGTCCAAATGTTGAAGTGAATTAGACAAAGCAGGACTTTTCTTAGTGAATCAGGGAAAACGGGCTGTGTGACCCACCTCGAAATAAACGGTGTTCTCTTTCAGGTGCTGCTCCACGCAGTAGCAGAGCTGCAGGATCCAGCTCCACTGCGTCTGCATGGCAGCCTTATATGCCTGAGGACGGTGAGAATAAGAGGAAAGGTCTAATCTTATTATCTGACAGCGCTGCACAACATATCTTTTATTAATCTTTATGGCAACATCGGTTTTTGCAATACTGCTGTCGCAAAAAGTAGTAAAATAAGTAAATCTTTTACTAAATCCCAATTTCTGAAGTATACTGTGAGCATCCTGAACAACGTCAGATGTTCTAGATCAGTTTCTGTTTTAAGTTATCAGGCTATTCACACAAACCTCAATGATTTTGGTCAAAATGAAGCAGGCCAATCTTTTTACATCCAAAATGTTTAACAAGTTCACATATCACAATCACAATATGTAGCATTATAACTGCGACAGGACATTATTGAGTGTCTGTTTCTGTCCAAAATATCAAAATGTGAAGCCTGAAGTGATCAGGGCTGCCTACAATAATTCAAATACTCGAGTGTTCATTTGTTATGTTGGTATTTATTTCACTATGTAGTATTAAAAGGCTTTGTCCTTTTTAAGCCACAAAAACTGCGTCCTAAAATAAATATCATCAAGGCCTTTAGATAGAACAGTTATTGTTAATATAGAAAATGTTAAAAATAAATAAACTATAACTGGTTCAGGTCATAAATTCATGCCACGCATCCACATCTCTTCACCTCAAAGCGCAACAAACGGCGCTGCTTTCTATGCAGCCACTGAAGCTAAACGAGCAGAGATGCTTCAGAAAGAAATCCTGCGTGTGTGGAAGAGCTTTAAATTATCAAACAATGAGAAAAATGCTCAGTGCAGAATTTGAGATATGTGAGTTTGAGGAATTATCTAAAATATTTAAGTGTATTGATCCTCATCTGAGGACCACCACACATCCAACTGTCTACTCAGTGTTGGTATATAACCACTTCAGATGGGAGTATCAGCTCTTTTTCTCACTTTCTTTTCTAATGAAACAGTTTTATAGCAGGTTTAAAACCTATTTTACCAAAACTACTTAAGTCTGAAATTTTATTTGTATAGTCGCCATGACAACTTCAGGACAGAAGCTGTTACAGAACAACAGCTCTTAAGTTCATAATCTTATCATTAACTCCAAATAAGAAAACAGTATTACAGGAACATCCTAACTAGACTAAATCTCCTAAATACTGTCCTGTACAACCCCAGAGCTGTCTTACCTTCTGTTTAACTGTTTCTATCGTTTTATGCGGTGACAGACAGCACAGTTCACTATAACTAACTTAGCATAATCACGTTACATTTATCTACACTGAAAAAGGTGTTTTGACAAATGAGCGTTTTTTTCCTACCAGCGTTTTAAAATCTCAGACGCTGCAGACTCGATCTCCACCATCCCTCTTACCACCTTCGTGTGTTAATGTTGATGATGAAATGTTACAGTGATGGAGGTGAATAATGAGGAGACGGAGCTGAACGTGTGTCTGTTTATTAGGAGGAATATCGTTAGCGCGCTCGGCTAAAGCGTTTGGGAAATGGAGACTGAAACTGTGGAGTGGTGACTCTGATAAACAGCACAAAGCACTAAAACAACATTCATAACTTAAAGTTTATCACGCTTTAGTTTTCTGTGACCTTTTTTACATCAGTAACAGTAGCTACCGTTAGCTGTCTGGCTAACTAACCTGATTATTTTGATGACTGCTGTGCACATATGGTCGGTTGCTAGGCAACAGACAAGACAGTTGATTGTTGACTTCATTCGAGTAAGTTAAGATTTCCTAACTTGAGATAAGATGCTGTAAGATAAGATTCGCTTCTGTAATACGAATTTGTGAAAAACTTATCTTGACCTGTCAGATCTTAAGTTAAGACAAAGAAAACAAGATGTTTCTGTAATACGGCCCCAGATCTGTTTATTTCAACTAAACCACAATAACAGGTTTTTTGCGGCTGTTATCAGAGAAGAGAGTTAGTACAGCACAGGAGCTGCCCTGAAACTACCACACCAACAACTTCACTGCATTTCAGTAATTTACTATTTACTATAACATTTTAAACTTTTAGTCTCTAACCACCTCCGCACAGCCTGCAACTGCTTTATTTGATTTTACTTAACTTTTAATATGACTTTTGGTATGTTTAAACTATGTCTTAACTATTGTTTTTACGTTTTACTTTAAATTTTTTACTTTTGTACTTTTATTTCTTTCCTTTTTACCATTATTTTTATTTCTTTTATTAGTATACTTCTTATTTATTTTATTATTGTCAACTTATTGTCTTACATCTATTTCTTTTATTTCTTTAATTTATATTTTTATTTATTTTATCCTTATCTGCTCTTTTACTTGATAAGTTACAATATTGTAATTTTAATCGTTTATTGATTTAACAGTTTATTGGTACCTTCTTATTATTCAATTTTACTTTTATGATTTTTATTATTTAATTATAGCATTTGATTTATTTTTTTTACTGTACAACATCTCAATCCCTGATTCCTGTATTACTCGGCTTCACTGTAAATGAGTGTCTCCCTCAATGTATTCCGAGGTTTAATAAAGGTTGATTGATTGATTGATTTCAATATAGTTTAGAGCACTATAGGAAGTGGGAGTGTCGCAAGAGTTAAAAAAGGCATTCGTTTTGATGGATGTAAGACATGTGTCTGTATGTATTTCATCCACTAAAAATGTTTCAAATATTATTGTTTTTAAGGGAGATTCTGAGAACGAGTTTTCATGTACTTGTTTGGAAATTTCACAAAGTACTTAAGCCCGTAAACTGCAGTTCAGGCCAGCCTTAGAGTGATTACAGCTCACTCAGGTGTACACAACACACTTTACCTCTATTGTTAGCCTGGCTGGATGGTTCTGCTGTAGAAGGCTGTCAGCCTGGTCCTGTACTGACTTGATCATCCCTTCTTTTTTATCCAGCTCTCTCATCAGTTCCTGTGAAGGGAAATAAGATACTTGAGGCTTTTTGGCAGAGTACTCTGCGCCTGTCACCATTAATATAATGATTTGACATGCAAAGGCATGTGTTTCCAGACACACTGGTATTTAATACGCTTTCAAAAGTTTGGACTGGGTGTGCTGGTCCTGTGTAATTTAATACCACACAAATAACTAGCTGGACACTAGAAAGCTGTAAAAAATAAAGAAATCTCCAATGGAACAGCTCTAGAAGGCTCTAAAATGACAGAGAAAGCCTAGAATATTAAGAATTAAGTTATAATAAATGTAATATCGAGAATGCCTCATATTTAAAAAGCAGTTTTAAAATCCTGAGATGGATAACTTGACAAAAGTATTGCGAATAGATGATTATGTTAAAATTTACAGCATATATTCACTAAAAATCCTTAAAATATTCAATAAAACATCTTATTGGGAAAAAAGTGTCTGTAAATATGATAAACTTATTTACCTATTAATTATTTCTCCTTCTATATTGACTGATTTCAAACTTGTTCATGAAACATTTACATACAAAAGCTCCCTAATCAGCTTCTAACATAACGTATTACATACATGTAACTAAAAATCCCTGAAATACTTATTAAAGCATCTTAAAAAACACTTTAGTGGTCGTAAATACAATAAACTTAATTATATCTCGTTGTATATTGACTGATGTCAAACTTTTAAGCATGTTAATGACACATTTGCATACAAAAGCTCCCTGATCAGTTTGCACAATAGCTTATAAACCATTTAAACACGTTTAAAAGAGTAAATTGATATCACCCTTCCTCCCTGGGGGGACAAGAAACGTGGATGTGTTTTAACACCTAAGCTCGGGGAGGTCAAAGCCATTTCCTCCTAAAGCGACTTTGAACTCCACCATAATTACAAACGTGTGGGAGCCATAATCTCATTATTGCATAACTCGTTTTTATCATTTAATCTGCAAGCAACCTACAATTACTGGCAGCATAAGCACTGCTTTATCTACTCTTCACAGCACAGGCTGAAAAATCGTGAAGACAGACAGAAGAAGACTGTGGCTGGAACTGCTGGCTGGACTCACAGCATGGTAGTCCTTCTTCCTGGAGATGTTGCTGTTCCGCTCGCTCCAGTCGAAGGCCACCTCCTCTTCTTCTTTCTCATTAAGCCAAATTAACTCCTGGGTGGCGTGAGACACAAAGTCATGCAGGCTGTCCAGGTGCTTCTGTCTCTCTCTGGAACAGTTCTGAAAACAGAGAATCATGGGAAATTCATAGGAAACTGATCGAACTTGCTTTAAGGAGCGAAGGGATTCAGTGTAAATCCACTTACCAGCAGCCTTCCATACTGGTTCTCCAAGTTGCCCAGCTTCTCTGAGTAACTCTGTTTGAGTGGCTGTGTCATCTGAATCTGAAAAGTCAGGTTATAATTGTTAGTGCTGGGTGGCAAATTCATTGCTTTAAACCAGGGGTGTCAAACTCAACAACTAAAAATGGCCAAAAATAAAAAATCTCAGCAAATCTGTGGGCCAGCTGTGTTTTTAATTCATTTTAACATAACATTTTGCCAGTATGGGCAGCACGGTGACGCAGTGGGTAGCGCTGTCGCCTCACAGCAAGAAGGGCCTGGGTTCGATTCCCGGCCGGGCGACCAGGGTCATTTCTGTGTCGAGTTTGCCTGTTCTCCCCGTGTCTGCGTGGGTTTCCTCCCACAGTCCAAAAACATGCAGTCAGGCTGATTGGACATGCTGAATTGCCCCTAGGTGTGAATGTGTATGTCTGTCTGTCCTGCGACGGACTGGCAACCTGTCCAGGGTGTATCCTGCCTTCCGCCCAATGACAGCTGGGATAGGCTCCAGCACCCCACCGCAACCCAGAAGGATAAGCAGTTTAGATGATGTATGTATTTTGCCATTATTGATTCCAAATATGCAAAAACTGTGACAGCAAAATAGGCATTGAATACTTATTTAAAATAATTAATTGTTTCAGGTATTTTTAAAACTGCCTATTTGCTTGAACTAGACACCAGGCATCTTTTCTTTTTGTGTAACTGCTGGCCCATAGATTGTTGCTGGGGAAGGGGGTCGGAACACACACTATGTTGCAGTGCACACTGGGGACTGTAGTGCATCTCAGGGTGAAACGGGCTAATAAGAATAGAAAATTAAAGTCATTTCACCGGCCAAACAGGACTGTGTCACAGGCCTGACTTGGCCTGCGGGCCTTGTGTTTGACACATGGGCTTTAAGTAACAACAACAGCAAGAACAACAATAATAATAATAAAAATGATGATAAAGTTAATGAACTAATGCTTCCTAAACACTGGTACTCGATGCTAAAACAATGTCTTACAATCCTGGCACTACGATTGGACAGTTTTATTGTCTTAACACCAAAAGGGAACTTTACAAAGTAATATAAATGCTAACTAGACATAAAACAGTTTTCCAGAATGGAAATTTTCAACAGCTGTATGCAAAAATTGGCAAATTATGTTTTACTGCATTTACATTATTGATCTTCTAAGTGAAAATAAGTTACACATCCTCTACAGGAACTTACATATGGCATTTTACTGCACATATTAGTGCATAACTGCTATTTATTTGCTGAGTTTAACATATTGGAAAAGCTATAAAAACTATGAAATGTTTAACCGCCTAATTTGTTAAATTCATATCTACGGTATAAAAGCCAGGTGAAATATCTGTTACGCTGCTGTCAAAATGCACAGCTAGCGTTGCTATGGGAACATGAGAAGATGAGCTAAAGCTTATTCTACTTGAATCTGTTTAACTAAATAAAGATTTTCCACATTTTATTTACATTTTACGCCGTGCTAGTTTGTGTTCCGTTCTTTCATACAGCTGTTCAAAAGTTTCACAACAATCTGATGAATGTATGAAATGAATTCAGTAAGCTAGTTCTGTGCAATTTCACAGCATTTCACAAAACTGTCTGCAAATTTTGGTGCACAATTTCTGTTTATTTGTTTATTTGAGTTTAACATTGTAGAAAGAACAAAAAATATAATATAAAATGTGCCATAACTTTTTTGAAGATAAGAGATTTTGTTCTGACAGTAATGATACAGAACCCAGCACTAATATTTGTGACTCCAAGCTCACTGTATTGCCGTGCACAGCTTCAGTTAGATCAGCTTGAGTAACATCAACTCCTACCTCACTAATTTTTGCCTCTTTAAGGCTCATCTGGAAGTCCTCAATGGCTTTGTGAACATTTCTGTGATTTTCTAAATGGGACTCAACGCTGGGCAGATCAGATCCCCATTCACCTCGATCAAGTTGCACCTTAAAGCAACGAAAAAAATGCACAATTAACAGACAAGACAGAAGAAAACTGGACATTTCCAGATGACAAACCTCAAATGAACATGGTCCAGCATTCTCACCTGCATCTCCTCCACCCAGTTAATCAGGTCCTGCACAAACTTCATATTGACCTCTTCCTCCGACAGGTTGGGGTCTACCAGCGACGACTTCAGCATAGGCTTGCGGATCTGCATGTGTTTCAGGTGCTGCAGGACCCCTGTTTCCATGTCTCCTCCGCCCACCAAAGGGGGCTGCAGGCCAGGAGTCAGGGCTGGGGTCATGGCCGGTGTTAAAGCTGGGGTGAGGCTGGAGGACAGTGTGGAGCCTGGTGTGACCAGAGCTCCAGGCGTGAGAGCCGGGGTCAGGGCCGGGCTCAGGCCTGCGTTCAGGTTCTGAGAGAAGCCCGAGTTCAAACTCTGGGTGATTCCGGAGATCATGATCTTGGTCTGCTCTGAGGTCAGCGTGCGTCCCTTGCTGTAGACTGACGAGCATTCTGTCCTGAGGGCCAGCAGGTCATCACGGAGCTTCGACACTCTGTGGAAAATCAGCCAGTTCAGAAATTTTAATGATACCATTAATTATATCATCAATTTACACACACATTCAAAAGTCATATTAAGAACTGATGACATTTTATTCAATAATACTTAAAGAGTGTACACTAAAATATTATAAAGGAATTTTTAGATGTTTATTCAATAGTTGAAAGTTTTTTGACAACAACGAGAAGTTATAAAATAAGAAATAATATACAATAATTTAGTGTAATTGTAGTAGATTTGATCACCACTTTTCCAAATGAGAAATTATTCAAAACCCATTTAATTATAGTGCACTAGCATCATATCGGAATAATTTTAAACAGCTGGATGCAAAAGTTTGGGGACCCCTGATCAATTGAGGTGTTTTGTTAATGTTCTAAGTGACAATAAGCGAACACATCCTCTACAGAGACATCTGTACATTTTAATGCACAATTACTGTTTATTTGCTGAATTTAACAAATTGGGTGAAAAAATGACAAAATTTGGCTTCTGCTAAATTTATGGCACATTTTTTAATATGTTTAGCTAATAATTGTGCATTAAAATATGCAGAAATTCATTTAATTGTGTTCTTATTTTCACTCCAACAAAGCATCATGTTCGAGAGTGTTCAAACTTCTGCATAAGACCGCATATTTTTGTCGCAGATACATATATGTGAGCAAAAACCAACATTGGTGTCAGAGTGATTCCAAACTTTTGAATGCATTTTTTCCTAAGTATTAAAAAGATAAGCGTTAAATATGTAAAACAAACAGGAACAAATTACAGTTTTGGTCGTTAGTAATGGATTCTAGAGCTTCTCTAGATGTTTCTAACCTTTGAACAAGCTGATCAGCCAAGTAAAACTTCCCATCCAGTAGAATCTGGATGTCCACCACTTGCTGTCTCAGCAGGTTCTCACATTCCAGCAGGTATCCTGCAACCTCCGCCTCGTTCTGGAACTGGATCCCAGATTCCAACCTCTTTGCATCCTGGAGGAAAGATTTAGACACAAGTCAATCAACGATCCATGCAGCGATAAGGAAGCTTCTGAGGTGCTTCTCCTGCTTGAACTTACAGACTGCAGAGACGCCCGTGCTAAGGCCAGCTTGTCCTCTCCAGCCACGCAGTCTCGCTGGACTCTGTTCGCTATTTGCTGCAGCATTTCAAGTCTACAGTGATAAAGAGGAGAGAGAATACTGTCAGAGAGAAGTCAGGACTTCACACCAAGCCAGAAAAGAACTCCTTAAATTCTAAACGTCAAATATCTGGGCCCACATTTCAGCTTCTCACTCTCTTTAGAAATCTTACTCCTTTTCAGTAACAGCTATGAAACTAATATGCGACTCAGTAATACGTCTGAGGATTAACCCAGTCGTATTCACACACTGTTATTAAATGCAAATGATTTATCACTAGTAGCTCTTTGAAAAGAGCCGAGAAATTCTGCTGAAAGTGCAGATTCTGAGCTTTCGATCCATCCTACATCTGTTATAAAGTAGAAGAGGTTAATAATGTGTATTATGACTAACTCTGAATGTCCACACGAGCTCACGAATGGATCTCCAGTTAACTGCGGAGAAGGAAAAAGCAAAAAAAAAGGATTTCGATTGGATGAGTAACATAACAGAGGCTGCCTCAAATGAGCTAACGAGCCAAAACTACCGCCAACCTGTAACACTGGATGCTGATGGAGACCCTTCGCCTTCTATGGGTGTTTTTTCCCTCTTTAGCGAATGAACTCATTCTGGAATGAACATTAACCTATCCAGCGATAAAAGCTGCGCTATCCCCGCCTTCACAGTCACAGCTTTAAAGGGGAATCCTACTGATTTTTTAAAGGTTCTGCACATTGAAATGGTTCAAATGTGAACAAAGTCATTCAGAGTGGTCTGATGTAAAATGCTCTGCTCTAGAGTCAGAACTGTTCACAGTGGTGGTGATAGGAACCAGACGTCCACCTCTAAAAGCTCCCTCACAGAAAGTTATTGCATGAAATGGTTATGAATTCACTGCCTGATGTCTGAGACCAAAACCACACATTTACCATAGTATGTGAAAACTATTACACCACCATTTGAAGTCCATTCATTAATACAGTATGTTTAGTATGTGGTTTTGTATCCAGTCATCATTTTATGATAGTTTTGTGATAAGTTTTTGGTTACAATCAACAAAAAATACATTGATAGTAAAGAGAGATACATGCAGATGAGGCAAAATAATCTCCAAGACATTGCATTTTTTCAGATTTAGCACTAATTAACCATCATTAACATTACATATAAAACTCAGAAGACTCGTGGAGGTTCACTGGTGGTTTTGGATAGTAAATAAAATGTCTATATTTGTGTTGTAGTCATGGCGACCCCTGGTTCCTATCACCACCACTGTAAAGAAATCGGTAAGTTTTTCTAAAATGAACCATTCCGCATCAAATGACTTGCATAACATATGTATGAGAAAATATGAGCAAAACCATCTTATTTTACAGTTGTGTTAGAACATAAATAGGTCTGTATATATTTTCTCTGTCTTCCTGTGATGAAACCCAATGAACAGTGATTTCAGTATTCAACTACACTCTTAAAAAAGATGGTTCTTCAAGGGTTCTAATATAGGTTCTATAAACTATAGGATCATGAACACTCAAGGAACCCTTTGCATGATGAAATGGACCTTTGCATCATGAAAGCCTTCTTCAGATTGATGGAAAATGTGCATGAATGTGCTAAAGACAGTTCTACATAGAACCTTTTCGAAATTGGTTCTATATGGCACCCAAAATGGGTTCTTCTATCGTTACAAGTGTGACATTCTAACAATAGAAGAACCCTTTTGGATTCTATATAGAATCATTTACAGCACATTCTCCATCAGTCTGAAGAACGCTTTCACGATGCAAAGAACTGTTTAATCATCCAAAGGGTTCTTTGAGTGTTAATGGTTCTATACAGAACCATTTTCTTCACTAAAGAACCCTTGAAGGTTCTTTTTTAAGACTATACAAGCATCTAAAATGGTCGACTAAGTACTCGAGTCTGTGCTAAAGCCTGCAGTCAAGTAATCCTCCGTGCTTTCGCTGGCCTGCGAGCTGTCACCTCACCTGGGCCCGTACACAGAGTTGTTGTTGAGATAGAGCGGGGTGCTGGAGAACGGCTCCTGCGCTCCGCAGAGCAAGTTCTCCGCCGAGCCCAGGCTGGTCAGAGTGCTGTTGCTCACGGACGACACACTACCGCGGTACACCAGGTTGCTCTGCATGATAGCGCTGCGGTCAGCCGACGCACAAAGAACGGCATCTACCACGCCTCCATCCAGGACAGGCACCTGAGAGCCGAGGAGGCTCGAGCACAAAAGCCTTCTGGTGCCACGAGGTTCAGGTCACCACCATTTATAAGCTCATATGTGGCGGCAGCAGAGAAGCCAGCCCCCCATAATATTCCCCTCTGGTGAAAAACACCTTGCATTCTTCTCAGACAGATGATCCGCTACAGGTTCAGACAGTTACAGTGTGTACGGGAGGGCATGGAATGCAATACTGAGAGTGGCACACCCACCACTTTCACTCCTCTCCTTCAATGGGCTTATAGAGGCACTTTATTCGACAGCACAGCTATGATTACCAAGATTACAGCGCAACTAAGTATCGATAATGGAGGTGACTCCCACCGCAAGACCCAACACAGCATTTCCTCTATGACAATGAGTCCTATAACTGCAATACAGCACTGATGTAGCAGTATTCAGACCTGTGCCTGTGAACAGACCCATCCCTAACACACCCACTGTGAATACAGAGCGTTTATCTACGAGCAGAATATGCTACTGAGGGTACATAATCAAAGTGGGTGTGCACAAGGCAGTGGAAGGGAAGGGCAACTCTCGAGATCTAGTATAATCAAGGTAATGATTTGAGATTTAAAGCAAGAGAAAATCCAATTTATTTGTCCGAGGTTTGCTTCTTAAGTTTTGCACTGGAGCTAATGTAGCTAACAAGTAATTGAAGTACATGGCGCACATGTGGTGGAAAAAAAGCACATGAATTCCGATCTGAGCGTCACATTAAGGTCGCATGGCCATGAATCAGATACATATCCGATCTAGGACCATATATGACAGTGGCTCAAATCAGATTTGTCCACACAGCTCTGAAAATATCAGATCTGAGTCACATTAGGGCAAAAAATCTGATTTGCTCCACTTCAGCCAGGTAATGTGAACACAGCCTAACATATGTGGTCCTAGATCAGATACGTATCCGATTCATGGCCATGTGACCTTAATGTGACGCTCAGATTGGAATTCATGTGCTTCTTTTCCATTGCACCATCATTCAGTGTTACCATGGCAGCAGCTCCGAACAGAAGTTAAAGCCTGTAAACGGTGGAAAAGCAGCTCATCTCACCTTTTTCTCCTTCGTCTCGCTCTAATAATGAAGCTGAGAGCTGATCAGAGTTAATTATCCTCTCAGCGAAGCTCGTTCTGCTCGTTAGTTTGTGCTGATGATGCACGTGATTCATTCACGTGACGTTACTGAGTAGGATGAGCTCATGAGGGTCATTTCAGGACGCCGGTTCATCACATTAATGACAGACTTGAGTCACTTACCTAAATGAGTGTGAACCATCGTGTCAGAGAGATCGGATCTGAGCAAAAAATCGGATTTGAGCAATGAGGCTTGTACTGTGAACGTAGTGCTCATGGTAATTGTTGATTATGTAATTTGTAAGCTACTCTTACTACATGTCAATATCAAACATTCCCCACTGACCGTCTCTTCTGGGTAGTCAAGCAAACAGCGATGTAAGTTCAATTCTAGTGTTTATGATAGTTGTAGTCCATCAGGTAATTCAAAGACTACAGAACGATGGTTATGTCTGTAAACAAAAGGGCATCGCGATGCATAAAATGTACAAAGATTGTCCAGTTTGGGGCTGTTATGTCATACATAAAGTCAGCTATGATTTAAGATTTTAAATAGTTAACTTAAAACTGTCTTTGAATTCCGAGGCTGAGGCGCTGCACCGTGTGCTGTGCTTACTTCCTTTACCTTTACTTTGTTTTCCTTTTAGAATTACCCGATTAACACTCACATGTTAACTATTCCACTAATTGGGATTAACAATTACTAGAAAACTGATCACGGACTGACGACCTGGGTGTTTCCTGCCTTCCTCCCAAAGAGTGCTGGGATAGGCTCCAGCTCCCCCAACAGCCCAGAAGAATAAGCGGCTTAGATAACGTGTGTGTTTGTGATCATTATCACTGAAATGGCTAAAAGAATGCATTAGGAAAAGCTTTCAGTCTTACAATATTAACTTTCCTAGCACCAGCGCTACAAGCTCAAACAATTAATATACAGACCGGATCACACACTTGCCCCAAGCAACATCCAGATGTTACATAATCTCAAACAGTTATCTATGAATATATATGGACAATATTCCGGTTTCAAGATAGCTGCTAATGTTTTTCATTATGTAATGTACTACTGTCTGTTCAACAGTGTTTCTAGATTAGTTTGAGGCAAGATTGCATGACGTGATCTGAGGTAAGAATGTGATCATTTAGTCATGCAGTATGAATTATGCTAGTTGCTATTATTACATGTCAGCTATATCAGCCTCAGAACTTCAGAGAAAACAACAGAAGCAAAATTCAGACATCAAACCACGTCTTTGCTGATGGACTACATTTGGGTTGAGGGGTGGAAACTGTAAATTTTTCACTGAGATGTTGCTTTAAATCGTAAATGATTACCTCATTTCCCTGTTTACATTCTGAAGGCTTTTGATCAAACATATAAAATACTGCAAATCTTCAGCCCCACTATGCGAACGCAAACCACCGAGAGGTCAGAGTAACTGACTCTGTCTCTGTGCTGCCAATGAACTCCAGAGATGGAGAGATAAAGCTGATGAATTGCGCCACGGGCGCCTCATACCTGTCCACCTCGGGCCTCAGGCTCTTCTCCCTCTCCAGCATGGCCACAATCAGCTTGCCCCATTCCTTCTCCACGTCGTTGGGGTGGTAGCCCTGCGGCAGCTGGATGCGACCAAACTCGATCCACACCTGCACCGCAACATCAAAAACACTCAGCTTACAGATCCTCCAGACATGCAGACAGAACATCTCACAGACTTTCCTGTGAATTCCTCATAATACAGCCAAAATGAGAATCTTTTGACGAATACTGACCTCTAGCATTTTGTAAAGATGCTTAATTTTGGTCTTCTCATTCTCTTTCAGTGGGATTTCGCTCTCCTTGAAGTGCAGGTATTGTGAATAAAGTGCCTGTGAGACAGAAGGAAAATTAATCAGCAGGTTCGTCTCTCTCTTCTCTCTGCGCCCTCAGTGAGATTATAGACAAATTATTTTTCGTACCGATGCTCTCCTGAAGTACAGCAGACGTGTCTGATTATCAGAGGCTGATCTCTAGATCTTTAAAGAGGCTTTAAGACTCGTTAACATAAGGGGGACGCTACATATCATGAAAAGCGAGCAGGCAATCTGCCCCAGGCTTCCACGCTGTATCTAATGAGAGTCAGCAGCAAGGATGAGTCTCAGCTTCCAGCTGGTGAACACTGAATTACATTTCTGCAAAACATCCCAAGTGCCCAGTTTTGGGATAAAACTAGCCTTGTAATAAGTCCAATAAGTCACTGCAATCGAAGGCCTGCAGATCCACTATGCATTGTCACTGATCAGGCATAACATTCTGACCACCTCCTTGTTTCTACGCTCATTGTCCATTTTATCAGCTCCACTTACTATATAGGTGCACTTTGTAGTTCTACAGTTACAGACTGTAGTCCATCTGTTTCTCTGATACTTTGTTAGCCCCCTTTTACCCTGTTCTTCTCATTACTCACCACATAAGACACTTACAGTCATATGCAAATGTTTGGGCACCCCTCGTCAAGTGATGTTTTGTTGATTTTTGAATAAGTTAACACATCTGATACAGAGAGAACACAATTCTGCACAGTTAAATGCATAATTACTGTACATTTACTGAATTTAACATACTGAAAAAAAACAAAAAAAACCACCTCTGCAAAAGTTACACATTTTATATTTTTGGGTTTTTTTTCCAGACATGTCAAAATCAGCAAATGAACAGAAACTGTGCACTAAAATTAGCAGAAAAAGTCCATATATAAGTGTGTTCCCTGTAGAGGGTGTGTCAACCTCTTTTCACTTAGAAAATCAACAAAACGTAATTTAAACGTTCGATCTTCTGCATACGACTTTCAGAATTAAATGAACAGCTCATGTGGTTAAACTGAGCTGGGACTCACCTTTAGTTCCACAGGATTACTGGGAAAGTTTCTGTCAGACATGACTGACACATTGTGTTTGATCCACTGGCTGAGGTAATTCACCATGTTCTGGTATTCTACCCATTTAATGTCGACATCCTATTCAGACAAAAGGCAGAGATTAGTCTGACTGGCCTAAGCAGAACAGCACAGTCCTCTCTCTCCAGCACGATGTGTGGATGGAGGTTTGAAAGGATGTAGTATCAGGCTCCACTCTTTTCCTCCAGCAGATAAAACGCTGTCTCTCATATGTGTTAGTTTTCATGGGTGAATCAAAGGCTACGTTCACATTACCAGGCTGAAGTGGCACAAATTCCGATTTTTTGACCTAATGTGACTCAGATCTGATGTTTTCAGAGCTGTGTGGACACACAAATGTGATCTGTTCAACTCTGACCTCAGCCACTTTCATATGTGGTCCTAGATCGGATACGTATCCGATTCGTGGCCATGTGACCTTAATGTGACGCTCAGATCGGAATTCATGTGTTTTCTTCCACTGCACTGCGCCATTATTCAGCGTTACCACGGCAACAGCGCCGAACAGAAGTTAAAGCCTGTAAACGGTGGAAAAGCAGCTCATCTCACCTTTTTCTCCTTCGTCTCGCTCTAATAATGAAGCTGAGAGCTGATCAGAGTTAATTATCTTCTCAGCGAAGCTCGTTCTGCTCGTTAGTTTGTGCTGATGATGCACGTGATTCATTCACGTGACGTTACTGAGTAGGATGAGCGCATAAGGGTCATTTCAGGACACCGGTTCGTCACATTAATGACCAAATTGAGTCACTTACCTAAACGAGTGTGAACCATCGTGTCAGAAAGATCGGATTTGAGCAATAAAACAGATTTGAGGCTTGTAATGTGAACGTAGCCTATATTTTGGGAAAATACTCCAGTTAGAAGGGAAAAAAAATACCTGCTTAAAATATTATTGGCAGCTAGTAAAAAGGCCATAACAAGAAAGTGGAAGCAGCTGGACCCCCTAACAGAAAACAGTGGCTTGTCCATTAAATTTACTCAATGGAAAGACTTACATTTATGTTACAACTGAAGACGGAATGCTCTACATAATGGGAGAAATACTGGGAGAAATGGGTCTTAAAATACCCCATTAGGGCAACCAGCACAAGCAATTAAGAGGATATGTAAAAGGTGATATGTATGCATGTCTGTATTATGTATTACTGTGTAACCCTTGATGTTTGTAAAATGGTCCTGTTAGCAACTGGATACTAGATTATCTCCTAGACAGCCTTTGTTCTTCAGTTATGTTTGTTCATGTTTTTATTATTCTGTCTTTTCTCTTTTAAGTCATTACAGCAGTGAAACTGGCTACACTGAAAATTGGCTTCTGCTAATTACCAAAACAAATTCAGCAGCACCTATGCAGAGTTTCCAGAATGTTTCCATATAAAGAGACACTGTCTTAAAAACTGCTGAACCACCAGCTTTTTTGTACTTAAAGTCATGATTTGGCCCAAAATCTTAAACGTAGTCAATCAGCCCAGACATGTGTGGTATTTGCACTGCAAACAACTGTATATTTCTTGAAACAAGTAAAATTATTTCAATATAGTGAGATAATTTCCCTTAATAAAATCACTTAAAACAAGTAAAAATGACTAGAAATAACTAAAACAATCCTACAGTAAGATCACAATAATCTTAAAATGAAAAATATTACATATTGACTATATTTAAGATAATTTCACTTGGCATGTTTGTTTAAGTTTTGCTCTGAGGCTATCAAGTTAACATAGCTGGCAAGTAATAGAAGCTTATGGTGACCCATTAGCATTGTGCAAAAGTGCCAAAAATACAAAGTCACAGAAAAATAACAATATACTGTCATATAGTGTCAGAAACCACATAAGCACCTCTATTAAAGATTATCTAACAGTAATAAAACACTAATAAATGGTTATAATCTTCCATTATTTACAGATCCAGAGCAAACTAAACTAACATTAAACTTGTCTTGGCTGATCAGCTACATATCGTCGCTGTCCAAAGAAAAACAACTCCAAAATAGTAACTTTACAGGAGTAAACAACTCCATCTCCAAAATAGTAACTTTACAGGAGAAGGAAAAAACACTCTAAACCTTTCAATGTAAGTCAATGTAAAAAGATTTTATTCCAAGTGATTTTAGAGCATTTCCATTGGTCCATTAATCAAACTTTTGCGCAACGTAAAGGACAGCTGGTGTGTTGAAATGATGTAGAAAACAGAAAATCAACAAAAATGGAGATAGATTGTTTTCTTTGGACAGCGACGATATGAAGAAAAGGGAAAACTGTGTTCATTCTATTTTTGGCCAAACCATCACTTTAAGACACTTCACCCACCTACTCTTTAAATAATACAGACACGGTCATCACAAGAGCAGGTGCGTGCTTTATTTATGAGCGCAGTCAAAGAGCAGGCACTAAAATCCTATATTAATACCACACAGATGTTCTTCAGATCATCTCTGCTTAATGACAAACCAGCACAAAATCAATATCAGTAAGAACACATTTTTATAATATATCGCTGCTGTCGGAATAAAACCTTGTATCTCCATTTTTGTCGTTTTTCAGTTTTTTACATAATTTGAAAATACGTGTTACCCTTTACATTGTATGTAAATTTCATGATGAGTGGACTAAACAAAATGACCCAAAATGACTTGGAAAAAAATCTGGTTCCATTGACTTACATTAAAAGTAAAGCAGGTTTTTTCCTTCTCCTGTAAAGTTACCATTTTGGAGATACGAGGTTTTGTTCTGACAGCAGTGATATGCTAGTGAAGATGATTCATTATGTCCAGCCCAAAAGTTGTTTATCTCTACTCACATTTGCACTGATGCCCTCAACACCCTCTGGTACTTTAGGGAAGACATCGTATAACGTTGATACATAAGTAATAACCGACTTCTCATCTGGAGACGACACATCCACATCTGTCCAAAAAGAAATGTTCAGTTAGGCCAGTCCGTGAAGAACTGTAATGCAGTATCTCAAAAGAACATGATAATCGCATCTTTTTAAGCTTCCACTGTGTAATATTACATTATTAAGACTTTTCGCTAACACTTTTTTATGAATGTCATGTTTGTAAGCATCTATAAACACATTCCTAACATGCTATAATGCATTCATAAGGCATCATAAACATGGATATAAAAATTCATAAAAATGCATAACACGTTATAGACATGCTTATTATGCAGTATGAATTATTAACATAATACATTATAAGTACTGATCATAACAAATTCTACGAGCTCATAAGTTGTATTTGTCCGCTCTAAGTAAAGTGAAGCGTACTGTACTAAAGCCTCCTCCAGTGTTCAGAGTGAGGCTTCAAGTTGAAGTATTTACTGAAGGATTTACTGAAACACTAAAACATTCACAGTAAAGCTCATTACAGGCTTCAAATGTCAGAGTTTAAACTAGAGCTGCCATCAGTGTTTTACCCAATGTGGGAAAGGTAATGTACACCACCGTTAGCTTGGCGCTAACTTAACCCTGCATATCCAATAGAATACTCGCAGAAATTATCATTGCTGTACTGTAGTGTAGTATAGTGTTACAGAGTGAAGGGTTCTAGTGCTTGACGTAGAACCAGTGAGGGAACAAATTACAATGACAGCACTGTACTGTCTCACCTCTCCCTCTCCAGACCTTCACTCCACAGTGACTTCACACTCAGTTGATGGGTACTTGGTTTGCTGTGATGTAATGTAACATTTAAAGTGAGAGCTCTGGGTAAGAAAAGCTCACTGTAGCAGTAACTCTGGGCTGGACAGCCAGTTTGGAGCATCTGAATATTCAGGACTGAAGCCCCGAAGATGCAGGTCTAACAGCACCAGCGCTCAGAAATAAAATACTGGAAATCTCAGGAAGTAAATAAACTTTGTATTTGTTTTTACTTTATGCTCTCCAAACTGGGACTGACCTCTTTGGCACTGACAGTATAACATGTTATAAACACTACTTATAATGCATAATATTAACAATTCATAATGTATAACAGACACAGCTATAAAGTGTAACTCAGTGTAATTCATTTTTATCAATATTTATAACAATGTTTATAATGCCTTATGAATGCATTATAACATGTTATAAACGTGTTTATAGATGCTTACAAACATGACATTTATAGAAAATGTTACCGAATTTTCTTCAGGAATGAATACAGTTAATCATTTAGAAACCACTCTTAGCCGGCCTGCAGTGTTAGTTTACGGAATGACTGTGAATGACACTGAGGAAGGTGAAACATTAGCTGACTCTGTGAGTCACTGACTCAGACCCTCAACTTTAAATGGAAATGACACTTCCTTCCGTCCTTTTCTTTATAATAATGCTACACTTTTGTCTTACATGCCCCCTAAACCGTGAAGAGATGGTAATGAACATGCGTGTCTATGAAACTCACCCTCTGGGTCCAGCAGCCGAGCCACTCCCAGCTGCTCAGCCACGCAGAACGCGTGTTCTAGGTTTGATCTGCTACTCTGTGCTGAAACTTTGCTCATATCCACCAGGTCAGGCCTACAGTGAGACAGAAATCAGCCTTCTGCTTAGCTTACACCACTAAAGTGAACATATTCAGTTTGAATTTAATAAAAACAAGGATAAAGCTACCATTAAATATTAATGGCAATAATGTGACCATTATAAAGCCTTAAAGGGGAATTACAGCTGTTCTTCTCATTTTATGCATAACTCAATCTTTGAGATGTAAACAAACACATTCAGAGTGGTTTGATATGAAATGATTCACTTCAGGAAAACTTACTTACTCTTACTTATTTCTTTACAGTGGTGGTGACAGGAACCAGGGGTCACGATGTGAACAGAAAGTACCAGTGAACCTACACGTCTTCTGAGTGTTTATATGTAAAGTTTTTAACAGTATAATTGTTGTAAATCTGGAAAAAATACTTGCGGGACTATTTTGCTGTACAACACATTGCATGTCCCCCTCCACCATAACTGATATCAAGAAGGACGCTTCAGGCCAAAATCTTACATCAAAACTATTGTAAAACAATGTCTCAACCATACACCTATGTTTTTGTAGACATTTTGTGGCATTTCATGGAATAACTTCCTGTGAGGGAACTTCAGACATCTGGTTCCTATCACCACCACTGTGAACAACTCACTAAGTTTCTCTAGAACAGAGCATTTCACAGCAAACCACTCTGAAAGACTTTATTTAAATCTTAACCATTTAATTTCACTGAAAATTTGAGAAATTGGTGGAATTCCTCTTTAAAGCCTTGACACATCAGATTGTAGAAGTACAAATCACAGCTACACCACATAGACTGTGATGCAGTGAGAGCGCTGATCAAGTTCTAGTTCATTTAACACTCCACAGATTTCACTGAAACGCTTTGTCGGCCCTGATCCAGTTTTATTTCGGTCATCTCCAAATGTGCTTTGGCTTTTAAATCACTGGCAGCTAAGCATTCAGCACCTAATCAGGGAACAGCTAGGAACGCAATCTTAGTTGACTCCCAATTATATTTCAACTCTGAAGAGCTCAGAGAGGAAGTCCTTCGTTAGCTGTATGTCCATTTCTAATTATTTGATTCATTTGCATATCCTCCAGTGAAGGTAATTAGCTGGTGATGTTCTGTGTGTGTAATCTATGATATGATGTTTTTCTACCTGATTTTTTATGTGGCCACTGTTTTTTGAGATTAAGGCTGTAATATCCATTTGGGGAATGGAAGTGTTCTTTTTCTCGGTATCTGGATATATTCGTCCCTCACTAAAGTAAAGTCCCTCACCAGAGTAGGAAAAAGCGAGAAGCTAACCGGCTACGGCTCCGATCATAAAAGACAAACTTCAAGTTCAAGCTTTCACAAAAGGAGCTACTTAAAACCTGAGGCACACCCAGGCTGCCTTTATTTAAACCCAACATAGAGCTCTGCTAACCCCGCTTGCTTGGTGCTGACAACTGTCTAAGCGTTGGCCCTGTCATCAGGAGATCATGAGTTCGATCCCTGGTGATGCTATAGCCATGCGTGGCCGGGAGTTCAAGAGAGCACAGCTGGCCTCGCTCTCGCTGGGTGGGCAGGATGGCCCCCCTCCCCATCACTCTGCTGCTAGCCAGCACATTACAAGCCTCATCGCTCGAATCCGATTTTTTGCTCAAATCCGATCTCTCTGACACGATGGTTCACACTCGTTTAGGTAAGTGATTCAAATCTGTCATTAATGTGACGAACTCGTGTCCTGAAATGACCCTCATGAGCTCATCCTACTCAGTAACGTCACGTGAACGAATCACGTTCATCATCAGCACAAACTAACGAGCAGAACGAGCTTCGCTGAGAAGATAATTAACTCTGATCAGCTCTCAGCTTCATTATTAGAGCGAGACGAAGGAGAAAAAGGTGAGATGAGCTGCTTTTCCACCGTTTACAGGCTTAAACTTCTGTTCGGTGTTGCTGCCATGGTAACGCTGAATGATGGCGCACACGCTCAGTGGAAATAAAGCACATGAATTCCGATCTGAGCGTCACATTAAGGTCGCATGGCCATGAATGGGATATGTATCTGATCTAGGACCACATATGAAAGTGGCTCAGGTCAGATTTGTGTTTCCATACAGCCCTGCAAACATCAGATCTGAGTCACATTAGGGCAAAAAATCGGATTTGTGCCACTTCAACCTGGTAATGTGAATGCAGCCCTAATTAATGTGGAGGATTGGATACACATAAACTGGGGAAAACTGGGAAAAGAATGCAATAGTTTTATCATCTGGCTAAACGTTTTTCTCACAGTTTACGTTGACAGATCGATTACAAACGTCAGCACATAAGCACCCCAGTAATAAAGATAATTTATATTTTTATTTAATCCCACATTTCCACCCACACTAGAATGTTATAAGCATTTAACATGTACGTGCTTCGTAGGAAGTTCTGTCCTTAAACCCCTTTACAATATAATGGGGTGCAGAAATAAGGTATACACATTTTTTGAACCAACCACAGAGTAGAATGATTGTATAAAGTGAACAGCTAAAATAAAACCAAATGTACAGTTTGCATGTTATCATTGCTTATTTAAACTGTCGCGATATCCAATAATATCAATTAACAGTCTAGTTACAGCTGCTGATTCTGCCAAAAAAAACAAGGTATCTATCAATACACAAGGCAAATATGTTCATTAATTTATTGGTGTGCCAAAACTGAGGCAGTGATGTATCACTTGGAGCTGTTGAGCAAACAGGAAATGCCAGGGGTGTCCAAGACTTTCCACTGCTGACACCGTGTTTGTTTAAGAGCAACGGAAGTTCCACCACTGACAAGCGTTTACAGATCAGCAGGAACATTCCACAGAGCTTACTGACCACAGATACACAAACCACAGGCACAAAACACTGGAGGACCATCTACAGTAGCACGGACAAGTCATGACGGGAGACGATTATATTTAGGTAGGGAAAAAGATGTGAACTGTGAATCTGTGCATTCTCAAAACCCAACGTATCAAATCTCAGTATTTACAAGAGAAGCAGAACAGCAGATTAGGCCCCTCTGCTCGCTCAGAACCTCAGACTGCAGACTAGAAGTTCTACGGAAGACAGATGAAATACAATCCACAGGGAATCATGTGACTATCTACAGCAGCAGAAGTAGGACATGATGAGAGAAAGTTATATTTAGTCTGGCCACTGTGTCATCAGGTCAGGTGAACACTGAATCTGCCCTAAAAGCGCTCCTGATAAAAGCCTGATGTTTGCATAATGTAGTCCATCTGTTTCTCTGCATACTTTGTTAGCCCCCTTTTACCCTGTTCTTCAGTGGTCAGGACCCCCATGGACCCTCACAGAGCAGGTACTATTTGGGTGGTGGATCATTCTCAGCACTGCAGTAACACTGATGTGGTGGTGGTGTGTTAGTGTGTGTTGTGCTCGTCTGAGTGGATCAGACACAGCAGTGCTGCTGGAGTTTTTAAACACCTCAGTGTCACTGCTGGACTGAGAATAGTCCACCAACCAAAAATATCCAGCCAACAGCGTCCTGTGGGCAGCGTCCTGTGACCACTGATGAAGGACTAGAGGATGACCAACACAAACTGTGCAGCAGCAGATGAGCTATCGTCTCTAACTTTACACCGACAAGGTGGACTGACAAGGTAGGAGTGTCTAATAGAGTGGACAGTGAGTGGACACAGTGTTTAAAAACTCCAGCACCACTGCTGTGTCTGATCCACTCAGACCAGCACAACACATGGGGGTCCTGACCACTGAAGAACAGGGTAAAAGGGGGCTAACAAAGTATGCAGAGAAACAGATGAACTACAAAGTGCACCTATATAGTAAGTGGAGCTGATAAAATGGACAATGAGCGTAGAAACAAGGAGGTGGTCATAATATTATGCCTGATCGGTGTACATTAAAATTGTATCCATTGTTATTACCTATACTTGTGAATAAGAGCATTAAATAGCCTTCCGTCCCTCCAGGAGGTAGTGAAGTTGTCACAGCGGACGCCCACGTAACCCTCGGTCATCTGCTGGGACCACAGCAGAAGCCTCTCCTTGGCCGTCATGTCCTCGGACTGCCCAGTAACGTGGATGTCCGAGATCTGTGGAGGAGAACAACGAAATTCCTCTGTTAATCACATTGGCGACTGAATATGAAAATCAGCATTTCCTTCAATAAAAATATTGAGTGCAAAACTCAGAAAACATCTGGTAAAAGTCTAAAGATTTGCTGTCAACTCTAGATTTACTGAGAACTTCTCAACACTACACTGTTAGAAATAAAGGTTCTGTTCTGGTACATTTTTAGTTCATCAAGGTACAAACAGTGTAAATGTTCCCTCAAAGGTTCAACAGCGGTTTTAAGGTCTGATTGTGAACCTTAAATAAGTTTTTCCAGGTGAAAAGTTCGTATTTGTACCTTTTCATAACCGAATGTTTTAAACAGAACAGTAAAATAAAAGCCTGTAGGCGAGACGGGGTGTGTGGAGTCAGTACAGCTTAGAACATATCATTTCAGTGGATTATGGTTCAGTTATGTTCCCTGACTAAAGGTACTGAGATGGACCCTTGAGAGTTCCGCCCCAGTGACAGTTTAGTACCTTTATTTCTGAGAGTGTATATGAAAACCACGCTGTTTTCAAAGTAATATCGCCAAGTGGACATTTCACATTCGTCCATCCACAAAATCAGGGCAAGCAAATCTAAAAATTTCCAATCAGGCCACGAAGCCAATTAATATTGTGGCTAAAAATAAGCCTTCATTGCCAGAAGCACAGAAACAGGTTTAAGTAATCATGAACCAATTGTGAAGTTTTTACAGTCTATTCCGATTCCAAGCAAACACCTACCAACTCCCATCTTGCCCAAGTCTTGATTGCGTCCCCAGCTTATAGTATATAAAATTCATTTTCAACTAAAAACATGCTTTAGTACCAAAAAAGGTCAAACGATGCTTAGAAAAAGGATAATATTAAAAACTTTACATTAATAAGAACTTTGCAGTCACGTTAGCTGCTTGGGGCAGTCATGGGTTGAAGGGTCCAGAACCGGAAGGTCGCCGGTTTGATCCCTGAGCCAACAGTATGTGACTGAAGTGCACTTGAGCAAGGCACCTAACCCCCAACTTCTCCCCGGGCGCCGTGGATAGGGCTGCCCACCGCTCCGGGCAAGTGTTCACTGCCCCCTAGTGTGTGTGTTTGTTAGTGTGTATGTGGTGTTTCACTGCACAGATGGGTTAAAATGCGGAGGTGAAATTTCCCCGTTGTGGGACTAATAAGGGTCACTTAACTTAACTTGACACTAATGCAGCTGATGAATTCACAACAAAATCTACTCTGGATGAAAAGTTATTTGAGAATATAACATACAGCTAACTATTCATTCATTTCCAGGAATGCCTGTTCACCGCATGAAATAACATTATGCCTGCAAGAATACATGCATTTGAAATATTTGCCATATCCGTCATTCACACATGATGTCAGGAACAGCCACAGAAAAATGTCTGAGTTGAGAAGAAGAGCAGCAGAAGCAGCCATTAAAAACCACAAAATAAAAGGTTGCATGCTCAGTCTGGGTTTGCTTCGCTGACCCAAACAGAAATACGACCCTTGGGAAAATGAAAACCAGAATGACCTCAATTGACCCATCTGGCTACAACAACCTCTACAGGCTCACAGTAGAGTTAAATGCAAAATGTCTGCACATTCAACATGCAGTGTTATTTGAAGTGGGTCTTTGTAGATGATTAATAAACTCTTAACAGATTATCAGTAACACATCAACAACATATCAGTGAAGTAGCTGTAGTGAAGCATCTGAATACACTGAAGTAAATATCTTGTAGATGTTCTGTTGATACATTACTTACATTAAATAGATGTTACTGTTACTATGTTACTTCCACTACACAAAACCTAACAGTACCAACCTCAACCCAAAACCGAACCCTCACCCTGGTCCTAATCCTAAATTCTTCAAGGGTTCTTTAGTAAAGAAAATGGTTCTGTATAGAAGCATGAACACTCAAAGAACGCTGTGGCGTGCGCCCGTCCACTGGGCCAGGATGGCGGCTGCCAGAGCCGGCAGGAAGGTGGGGACGAAGTCCCGAGCCCCGCCTCCTGGGCGCCACCTCCAGTCCCGCAGTGAGGCCTCGTTAATTAGCCTCACGTTTGATGTGGGCAGACAAGCTGCGAGTCAGGGTGATGACGGCGCCCAGGAGGCAGGGCTTGGGTGCCTTCCCCCTCTCACTCGCGGTGTTCCTCTCCCCGTCATCATCGCTGGGCTTCGTCCCCGTCTTCCTGCCGGCTCTGCCGGCTGCCGCAGGGTTCTTTGAGTGTTCATGCTTCTATATAGAACCATTTTACTACAGAACCCTTGAAGAACCATCATTTTTAAGTGTGAAGAAGACAGCAGCAAGACGGCCGCCATCCTGGCCCGGTGGACCGGCGCACGCCACAAACCCTTTGTGTGATTAAAGGTATCTTGGCATCGTGAAAGGGTTCTTTAGATTAATGGAGAGTGGCTGTAGCTGTTTCTCTGTAGAACCTTTTTGAAAAGGGTTCTACATGGCACCAAAAAGGGTTCTGCTATTGTTGTGATATCGAGCTTGTTGCAACAGAAGAATCCATTTGGGTGCTATATCGAACCATCCACAGCACGTTCTCTATCAATCTGAAGAGCCCTTTCACAAGCAGAGAACCCTTTAATCATGCAAAGGGTTCTTTGAGTGTTCATGGTTCTACACAGAACCATGTTCTTTACTAAAGAACCTTTGAAGAACCATCATTTTTAAATGTGCAGCTTTGTATACTGTTTAGGTTAGTGCGCTACCTGTGTTAGTCAAGCTGGCAACCACACCATCACACAGAGTACAACAGAGGGAATGTGAAAAACTAAAGGCCACTCTTTTGAAGGTGACTGAACTGTATGAAATTGTTTGCTCAACTCTTTATATTTCATACTGGTGCTGCGTCTTTAAACTAACAAGCAGCTGTTGATTCAGATCTGCATGGTTCATCACATCGTTGGAGATCTTCTCACATGACTAAGCACTGCTGAGTCCAGCTCACCCTTCTACAGCGCTCAGCTCAGGAGAGAGAGGTACACCAAACAGACCTGCACAATCGCACAACTCTACACACGACCACAACTCACTGCAGCTCAAACTTTAGTGACCATGAACAGCTCAGTAATCACTATAATGACCAGACGCTCTGACATTTAGGCAAACCTACAGGCCGTTTGCAGTGTAATTATAGCTCGTCCTGACAGAAGGAGGAGAACGTGGTGTTTAGACTGCTGGTGAGGGAGGACTGAACTCTGAAGCGCGACCCAAACACACCAAAATAGTTCAGCTCCAAACACCGCCAACCACAGAAAATCCAGAAAGTCAAGGAGAATTCTTTGGAAAGTAATGCAATGACAAGGAGCTGAGATCATTCAGCCAAAACGAACCACAACTCCAGGACAGGAGATTTTCTGAAAGCGTCTGACACTTCTTGTCAAAAAGTTTCTAGGTGCCACCACATGACATGATCTATAGGTATTAAAAATACATACATTAGAATTGCGTGGAGCTCATTTGAATGAACAGGAAGACAAAAAAATCACTTAAAAATTACGTTTTGTTGATTTCTAAATGAAAATAAGTTAAAACGTCCTCAACACAGAACCTAAATGTGACATTATTCTGTATATTTTAATGCCCAAACTCTATTTATTTGCTGAGTTTTACATATTGGACAAAATAAAAGCACAAAATATAAATTGTGAACTTACTTTTGCATACAATCTTAGAAAAGATGGTTCTTCAAGGAACCCTTCGCATGGATAAAGGTTCTTTGCATCATGAGAGTGTTCTTCAGATTGCCGATTGCGAAGAGCTGCAGATGGTTCTGTACAGAACCTTTTTGAAAAACGTTCTATGTAGCACCAAAAAAGGGTTCTGCTATATACAACACATTCTCCTTCAATCTGAAGAACCATTTCACCATGCAAAAAGTTCTTTGAGTGTTCATGGTTCCATACTGAACCATTTTCTTTACTAAAGAACCTTTCAAGAACCACTATTTTAAGAATGTAGAACCCTTTGCATGGTTTAAGTTCTTTGCATGATGAAATGGTTCTTCAGATTAGTGAAGAATGTGCTGTAGATGGTTCTATATAGAATCTTTTTGCAAAGGTTTCTCTATGGCACCAAAAAAAGGTTCTTCTACTGTTAAAAGCTTGACATCATAACAATAGCACAATCGTTTTTGGTGCTATATAGAACCCTTTTCGAAAAAATCCTACATTCTGCACAAATCTGAACAACAATTTCATGAGGCAAGGAACCCTTTAATCATGCAAAGGGTTCTTTGAATGTTCATGGCTCTATATACAAACACTGTCTACTACAGAACCCTTGAAGAACCATCTTTTTAAGAGTGTAGGTGAACTGAAATCTCCTTTACTATGGATTTGTATGGCTGGTTTGGTGCATTACTGCAGTGTTTAATACATGCTGTATTGATTTATAGGGACATTCCTCAGCCTACATGACTCAGCTGGGCTGTTATCTCTGTGTTTCAGTCTCAGCTACACTCAGCAAACAGGTGACTGAGCTCTGCTTCCTCACAGCAGCTGTTCACTTGATTATTTCTCAGACTAATTATGCAGCTCTCAGATATTCAGTTATGATATAGTGATTTTTATCATTTCCACTGCTAAGAAATAATGAAGAACATCATTGTTTCACATCCTTGTTCTTCATTTCTAGGAATTATTTTTTATTATTATGTGTTATCACTGCTACACATACAACACACTCTAAAAAAAAGGTGGTTCTTTACGGGTTCCTTAGTTTTGTTTAGAACCGTAAGTTCTATATAGAACCATTTCATGCTTAAATGGGTCTTTGCATGATGAAAAGGGATCCTCAGATTGATGGAGAACATGTTATAAATGGTTCTGTATACATGGCACCAAAAAGGGTTCTGCTATTGTTGTGATGTCGAGCTTGTTGCAACAGAAGAACCCTTTTGGGTGCTATATCGAACCATCTACAGCACGTTCTCTATCAATCTGAAGAACGCTTTCACAAGCAAAGAATCATGCAAAG